CAATCAGGACAGCTCGGCGCGGCTGGACAACGTTTTGCTCATTTCCACGGGCGGTGGCAACAGGGATCTGCTGGTGCGCCCCGGACTCACCACCTCCCGGTTTAACGATTTGCATGCCATGGTAAGTGAAGCGATGTACGACTGTCTGCCAGAAACATTGCCAAAGTGTTTCTCCTCGCTTTTTTTTGCCACCACAGACCTCGGCAATCCCAAAAGTGAGCCTGAGCTGCGACCATCTGTCCGCCGTGTGGTGTCTGCAGTTCATGCAGGCCATCAACCGCTTCCTCTTCAGCATTGCCCATGTGCGCGAGGATCGCTCTTCGATCGTCTTTGGCACCAACAAGCAGCGCAACCTGCAGTCAGCCCTGTCCACCTTTGTGGTAAGTTCTTCCTGATTTCGATCTCTATTCTATTATTACGCTCAAGAAATACCCACACAGAAGTCACGAAGGCGTCAGCAAAGTACTGTGCGATTCGGAGCCGCAGGAAATTGGCACGAGGAGCGACGTCTGGTGATCAACAAGTACTTCACAAACGGACTTAAAGGCACCTTCTTCGACTTGATTGGTCTGCAGCGCCAGGAGAGGTACAGAAAGATGGCCATCGAGGCCTTAAACGTGGATGACGAGGACTGGCTGTTCGGCTGCTCCGCCCAGGAGAACAATAAGACGGAACAGCTCTATTGGTAGGGAATAACCCTATACTGATAGGTACTGAAATATCAAGCAACTTACCCTTTAATCCGCAGCGAAAAGGCCACCTCGCTGATGCACCTCGTGCAGTGGCTGCCCAACGAAGATCGCGATCCCCGGAGCATTGCCATCCTGGATCTGCACAATCTGCGCAAGACCTACGTGCAGTGGAGTCATGTCCTAGTGCGCTTGCCAGCGAGCTCTAAGCGAATTGGCTATAACTTGGACATCTATGATCCGCGTGAGCGGGTCATGGACATCAAGATGCCGCGCTGGTACACCATGACCAAGTTGCCGTTGATAAACGAAACCCTCCAGGGCACCCTCCACCATCGGCTGCGCATCTCCGAGATGGTGGATCCCTACCAGAGCATCCGGGTGATTGTGGAGCCGCTGCAGTGCATTAACCCGGAGTACAGGGTGACCGCCAGGATATGTGTTCCCTGGGCAGCGGGCTTCGAACGCTTTCAGACCATCAAGTGAGTTTTCCCTTGAGTCAATGCCTTGTAATGCATTCCGGCTTTTTCAGATCGTTCGATCAGAAACCTCAATTGTATGTTAATGTGCCAACGTTAGTGCCCAGACATTATAATACCACACAGAATCCGGTAACAGTCGATCTATATATGGATCCCATTTGTCGCTATCGAATCAGGTAAGCTGAAAAGTTAAATCTTAAAAAATTATATTTAAAGGTTAGATTATTTAGAATCAAAGATTTTTTTATTTTAATCTAGCAAAACCTTTTTATTGTGCTAAGGCTTTTTACTATATTCAGTTTTATATGAAACTATTTGAGAGTGAGGAAACATAAAATACCAGCTTTTTCGCTGAAAACCATGTATAGTTTTCATCTCTTTCGTTTTCCCTGTGAAAATCTATCTCATTCTGATTTGTGTTTTTGTTTAGCTACGAATACTCGTATTCCTCGGCCTTGTCTCGATTGGTTCTCGAGTTCTACGGCTGGTTGCCGGCACACCTGGTCTGCGTTCTACTAATTGTGCTGAGGAAGCAGGTCGAGACCTTTCATGTGGTGGGAACGTTTCGTAGTCTGCGTCCCTATGTGGGTTACCTGCAGTACACTTCGGTCTATGTGGTCACAGGTTTGTTTTGAATGCAAATAAATCTATGCGTTTAATGCAAATGTAATTAAATTTCAGCCTGTCGCCTGTTGAAGAAGCTAATCATCAGCAGCCGCTTGCTGCCGGAGCCAGAGCCCCTGGACTACAGCATCAACGTGTCGATTGTGCTCCACTGCGCAGCCATCGCGCTGTCCCTGCTGGCCACTCTGGGCACCTGGTTGGCGTTGACGCTCTACGGCAATGCCTTCTACCGCCTGGCCCTGCGCGTCACTCGCCTCTCGCAAACCACCTCCAACGTGATGATCTCGATCATGACCCACCTGCCCATCACGTACGGCATACTGACCATTGCCACGGCCATGGGCACCTGCAGCGGAGTGGGCCTGCTCCTGGCCTTCGTGTTCTACTTCCTGATGCTGTCGAATGCGTACAAGGACTATCTGGAGGACTTTCTGTGGCAGAAGGCGGCCAATTTGGTGCGTGGCAAGCCAACTGCTGCTGCTGTGTCTCCCCAGGATGCATCCAGCGGGGAAGAGGCAGGTCAGCAGGAGGCACTGGAACCGAAGGATAAACAGCAGGAGCAGGTGGACGAGGAGGAGGAGGAGCCAGAGCCCTGTGTGGGTCTGCAGAACTTTTCCTTCCACGTCACTTTGCTGCTGATGCTGCTCATGCAACTGCTGCTCAATGCTCCTAGTACTTTGGCCTGGGCGCGCAGTCGTCGGTAAGTTTTGACTTTGAGCTCAAGGAGAATCTTTTTTAATTTTCACAATTATTTTAAAAACAACCTATTTATTAAATGGGTTATATTTGTTATTTTTATTTGTCTGTGATGGAACACATTCCTGAATATACCTCGTTGCTAAATATACAATATTTTTTCTTCTAGACATGGCATTGACCTGCCGGATCCGAGTCTGTATCCCAACATAGTGGTCCTGGCATCACTTAGTTTGCTCTTGCAGCTGCGAGCTCCCCAAAAATGGTAATTCTCATTAAATTCCTAATGTTTGGATAATTCTAATAGTCAAATCTCAATTGCAGTCAAGGATACTGGATGCTGTCCATTGTGTTTTACGTTCTGGCCGGCGTGGTTTTACTGTACTGCCAGGCGGCCATCTACAGGCTGACCTTTGTGATTGCCGGCGCCTTCGCTCTGTTGGCTGTCCATCAAGGTCTCTGGGTCCTGTGGCGTCGTCTGTCGTCCTAAATCTGGGTAACTTGGTTCTCCCTGTGTTAATTTGTTATTGATTGCCGCGTTAGTTAATTCAGCCCGAGTTGGGGGCTTATGTAAGCCAGCTGTCGCGAGGCAAATAAGCCCAGATCGGGATCTGGATCTGGATCGCTCCTACCTAGCGGGAAGTCCAAATTGAGACCGAATGGGCGTTGCTCCCGATTTGCCTCGATCGCACATTACACGTATTAATTGGTTTTACGCCTGTCGCCGGCACTTTTGGTTTAGCGATATCTCGCTATCTAACACACCAATCTCCATTTGGGGGAAATGTGTGAAAATGCCTATAAGTCGCAGCGCCAGTTGGCCACACTCCCCATCCCGACTCGGTTTTCCTTTTAGCCAAAGACATTATCCGTAGTACTTGTTTTAGACCTTTCCGAAATTAATCACAATACTCCGCTGTAAGATTTTCGTTGATATGAGATTTTAATTTTTTCATTGCTTATTGCAATTTTCCCTTTCTTTAAGCAATAAACTAAACCAAGAGTCATATAATTATTTGTGAAACATAAACGAAAATGTTAAATTCGTTTCTGTTAGAGTTGTTCTTTCTTTTTCATTATATGTTTGTTTATATATTTATATGTTGTATTCGTATTAAAATAATTTTAAAAATACTACTTTCTTCCGAACAACTAATGGATAATCAACCTAGAATAGCTGCCATATGTCACAAACAGACTTTATTGTATAAATATTGTAACTTTGTACATTGTTTTCATTTGAATAGTCCCTTGTTTTACCCTTGAAATACAATTTGATACATTTTGTAAACTCCAACTCACCAGTGTTGATTTGTTGGCCAGTTTGGATGGGCGTCTTAAATTACGAATTCATCGATGAAATGAAGTGGCGATTGGCGATGACTCCGATTTCGGTTCGTCTTCGCCCGCAATGAGATCTCCAGCGCCCAATTAAGTGGCGAACGAGTCCAGTTTCGGTTCGTCAACGCCATCTACTACTTAATGTCTTATTTGTGCGATGTGGAAATCTGTGAAATCTGGATCAGTCGGTGGATCATAACAACCGGGGGGACGGGAGGCGTGGCTGCACGCAAACTGGGTGAGATATTGTCTACAATACCCGGGGGAGCCGTTTGGATCTGGTTTGGATCGGATCGGATCGGCTGTTCATCTGTTCAGTGGCCAAACACGCTGAAATCCCGATAAGGATGTGCCCAGTCCACTAGCATATATATTCATAAACGATTCGCATTCGACATCTGTCAGCCAGCATTTGACGAAAAGTGCCAATATTCGTGGCACTTACATCACAAGCAAATGGCATTTCGCCGTTTAAACTATGTTAATATGGATACAAACTGCCTTTTCCAATATCGACTTCAATTAGCTTACTAAGCTGGCCATATTTTAATAGAGGAAAACAGTAGCAGGAGCTAAAATCAATTAAATTTGTACGATTGGTTGTGCAACTGCAGCTCATTAAATGCACTCGTTTTTTGGATATCATTTTTTGTGCCTGCTTTTTAATTAGCTTTACGATTTTTTGATTAAAAAGGCTGACAAACAAATATAATTAATGGAGACTTAAATAATTTGATAAAATTTTTATTTTTGCAGAAACTAGCTAAAAGATTGATACTCTTAATTAAATATTTGTTTATATATGAAAAATTATTTCAATAGCTTAATTTTCAAATAAAAAATGTTTTAAAAAGAATTTAAGTAAATCCCAAATTTATTTTTGAATTTTAGTTATCACATTAATAGATTATATTTATAAGAAACTAATTTATATTCACAGCTTTTTCAGGGATAGTAAGTGATATAAAAGACACAACAAAATAAGCCCCAAATATAAATCATTTCACAAAATAAAATGCAGATTATTTTTAGTTAAAATATTTTATTGGCATAGTTATAATAAAAAAAAAAAACGAATCCGACTTGTTAACAGGCCATGGCATTCTATATACACATGTGCGTATTACTATAACATATAACTTTGTACAGTTTTAGCTTATAGACAATTGGCAGTACGACTGTAAGACTTGAAGACTTGAAGAGGTGAATGATGGAGGGACTATTGCCAGTAGGCGGGCACCAGTTGAACCGGACCCTGGACATTGGCCATTTGATAGGGCGGAGGTGCCATTACATTGATGCTGCAAGAAGAATAGTAATATTAGATGGTGTGGATCCTAACAAGGTCTGATTGAATGAATTTCAGTATATATGCTAATAGAAACTATGACTATCAAATTCGGGCTTTTCATTAATAGTTCTTATAAATTTGTAAGGTAACAATGATTGTGAAATCACTAGAAATTAAAATATAAAGATTATCATAGAAAGTTTGAATTTATGATATCTTTTCTGGTTGTGAGACATGACTTAATAATGAATTTCTTATAAAAAGTAAATTTTTTGATTCTTCTTCTTTTAAATTTGATGTAGGTTATTTTTAGGGATAAAAATAATATCTTGATTGTGAAATTAAAAATATATTTCCTTTCTAATTATAATTTGACTAAAGATATAATCATCTTTGAAATTATGCAACGAAATGTTTATCTTTGATATTATGTTCTCCTGCTGAGTCAAGATTAAAAAATTAAATTTGAAGTGTTAAATGAAAGAAATCTTTGGAGTGCCCTATTTAATTTAGTTTTAGCCCCTTATTAAATCTTTTAAATTTGGCTTTATAATACTTGCCGCATTGTCTCGGTGTCGCGATAGTAACGTGGCCGGGGCGCCACGTAGTTGTTGGAGGTAAAGCTGCGCGGATTGGCCACCGGGAAGCGAATGGCGGGCTGGGCATTGGACGCACGTCCTCCTCCTCCTCCTCCGATCCTTGCCCGGGCTCTGGGACGGGCCACTCCGGATCCGGCCGCTGCTGCAGCTCCTCCGCCTCCGGCAGCTGCAGCTGCTCCCGATGCCGCCGCTCCACCGCCGAGGTTGTTCAAGGCAATGCCCCCACCCAGGCCCAGTCCCCCGAGATTGAGCGGACCCAGTCCGCCGGCAGCAGCGCCTGGCTGAGGCTGTTGCCACATGGCCGCCAGCTGGATGGGCACCAGGGCGGGCAGGGAGACGGTGACGGGCACACCGGGCGGCGGGCCAGCTGGCGGGACTTCTGGGGCCTCCGGCTCTGGCTCCGGCTCCGGCTCATCCTCGTCCTCCGGCGGCGGCGGGGCCGGCGTGGTCTCCGGCTCTGGTTCGGGCTCTGGCTCCGGGGCCTGAGTGGTGGGCTTCACCTGGGCCACATCCTTCCAGGCGGCCAGCAGGGCCAGCAGCTCGTCCTTGGTCACATGCGGACTGGACGGTGGCGGCAGGTGGCTGAACTCGAAGCTGGGAGCTGGACTCCAGCCGCCGTGGCTGAGGCCACCACTGCTCCAGCCCGGCGGAGGACCTGGCCCGAAGAGCGATCTCTGCTGGCGCGGAACGGGGAACTGGCCGCTGGCCAACTGGCCAAGGAACAGGATGGCAAGGACACTCTGGTACTGATATCTGGCCATGATGTCTCAACTGGAGCTGCTGTGCGCGATTTGTGTGTGCGCGCTGAACAGATCGTGGGGCCTTATATACTCCTATCGGCCATCTGATCCCCGAACTTCGCTCGTGAATTGGGTTAACAATTGGCTGGAACCGGACTGGATCGGCTGGACCTGGACCCACTGGAAACAGTGGACACAGTGGACCCGCTGACCGGAAGCCGAGAAGCATTCGGCATTGGCATTTGGCCAACTGGTTCAGTTCAGTTCAGTTCGGTTCAATTCAAATCCGAATTGCTGCTCGTTGATCGTTACTCACGCATTTCGGTGTGCCTAGGAAGCGTGCACCATTTATGGCCAGCAATTGCATCACATATTTATACTGGATTACCAAAGTAAATGGTCGGCAAATGAAAATGGAATCCAAAACGAAAACAAAAACGCACACGCCAACCGATGTGAAATGTGGAAAGCGCGAGAAAAAAGCGGGCAGATGAAAACAGGTTCCTCCATGGACTTATCGCAACTCTGTAGTACAGTGTTTATGTTTATGTGCGAAAATGGAAGTTTTTGCTGGCCATTATCTATGCCAAACTGCTGCTGCTGCTGAATAACATATTAGAGTTAAGGGAAGCTTACGCACAACGCACAACTAATTTAAAACACCGCTGTGGCACATAAAGCTGAGGCAACACTGCGTATGATTGATTTAAAGAGGTATACCAACCAACTGCTTGCGAATAAAGATAAGAAAAAAAACGAATTTAAAGGAATTAGAAAAGCTAAGTCAATACTGCGTGTGAATAATACAAAGGGTTTAATATTAATACCAAATTATAAAATAAAATAATTAAAAGACATCAAGTTATCCAAGGCAACAGTGCGAATGAGTAATATACATGAGTAATAATACATTCCTTTGAGTGGTGGGCACACGTATGGAACTTTATATGGATAATACTTAAATGGTATTCTATGTGTTTTAGTTAGCCTAGTCTCTAACTTAAATTGGGAGCCGAGCAGTCCCAAGACTTTTTGTCCTCGTGAAACTGAATGAGCACTAGTTCGTAGGTGGCCACCGTTCCTGCCATCTAAAAGATACAAACTTTGTGGTCAGCACACTAAATCTTTAGATTGAACTTTAATATATAACTTTAATATATAAGACAAGATAATAAAACTCATTTCTCACCGCCAAAAACAGCTTCCTGGTGACATTGAAGAACTTGAGGCCCGTCAGCGCCACCTGATCGCTGGCCAGTTCTCCGGCAAACCGGAAGACCTCCGGGTGATATCCCCGGAGGGGGACGAGACGCAGCAGACGCTGTGGCTCCCGCGCCTGGTCATTGATCGCCGACACGAAGAGGAGTACGGCCGTCGATCGGCTGAGCAGGAACATCAGGGAGAAGTAGAAGTAGACGGCGTGGGCCGAGGAGGGCATCGTGCTGAAAGTCACAAAATTATTATAGTAAATCTCAAGTCCAAGCTGTATTTTTGCAGGCATACAGATGCGTTCAAAATAATAATAATAATATAAAAATAATAAATAAGGGGAAACTTTTGAACATATTTTCTTTCATTTTTTCGAAAAGTTAATGCTGTAATTTCCAATAAGTACAACATTATTAAAATATTTTTAAAAATGTTTGATTACAATTTTTTTTAAATATTTATATATGTATAAAACAGTTGATTTTTACATTTCTTTTGTTATCTTATTTCTTAAATCCTAATCAATGTCCAAAAAACCGTGGATTTTTAGTGCTTTTCTTAAATTATCGTTGATTTACTATCACTTTTCACTTTTCTTATACAATTTAAACAAACTTATTTAGTTTATTAGTAAGTAAGTATTATGATAAATTATAGGAAAAATTGTCTTAAGCCTTAAAAGTATTTTTTTGAGCACTATATGTTAAGCCATATTGTACTTTACTTACTTGATACTCTTGAGCAGTTGCAGGCAGATGAAGTACAGATTGCTGCCGAAGGAAATCAGCATTATTCCGGATACGGCATCATCCACCTCCCGGACGAGCTCCACTATTGAGCGGTAGAGAGTGCGAGACCATGTCCAGTAGGCTTCCGGCATGGGCTTAAAATGGGCATTTGTAACCTAAATTTCTAGTGAAAATGTGTGTGTATATAGGACAGCCCACCTGTCGCACCTGCAGTTCCAGGCTGCGGTTGAGTCTGGCCAACATCTCGCTGAGACCCATGCCCAGCATCATCAGGAATATGTCCATGTAGCTCCAGCCAAAGGTGAGCAGCACGTTCTGGATCTTGCCCAGCCAACCCAGCCAGTTGGAGTAGGGGAACACAACGAACAATTGGGCACTGTTGGCGTGCAGATACGACTCCACGGGATCCCTCCTTCGGGGACAGATGTCGTAGTACACCGACGAAATAATGCTCAGCAGGTGCTCCACTAGAAAACATTGGGAAATCCGTTGGGAAAACACGAAGGACTGCAAACTTCGGCAAGCAGAAGTTTTTATACCCTTGCAGCTACCCTTAAAAAAATAAAATATTCTATAAAACGACTATATTTCGATTTGTACAGGTGTGTATGTGTATCTGACATCGTTGTCTGATTTTTGTAAAATTAAAATTCTGGTTTTGGAATAGTAAATAAAAGTTTTATCCAGATAGTTTGATAAACTGAGGGAATAGTTTGCGTAGAAACGGACATGGTAAGATCTACCCTGCTAATGCTGATCTTTTGTTTGAAATAATAAAAACCTCTGCAAAGGTATAAAGATTTAAATGTGAGAACCAACTCAGAGAAAGGGCTAGAAGCAGGAAGGCCACCAGCTGGATGCGACGAGCAGGGCGAGATCGCTGCAGACAGCAGGTGTAGCCGGGAAGCCGATGCTCCACCGCCGCCCAGTGGCGCATCAATCCTGGCCAGAGGCGCGCCAGGTTGAGGAACTGCCACGAGGCGATCAGGATGCTCACGTGGAAAACTATGGGCTCTGCAAGTAGTTTTTATTTAATTGTGCAATAAATTATACAAAAATAGATAGTCTCACCCACACTGCGCACATCCAACCCACTGTGGGTCACCTTGTGAATGCTGAATCCCAGATCCACCGAAGTGGCACAGAGATACAAGACGCTATACCAAAACCGCCAGCTCCGGCGGCTGAAACTCAACCCTCGGCAAGAGGGGGCACTGATTCCGCTGACAGGCATGAGGCAGAAGCACTGGGCCACGGCCAAAACAGGAGCCACTGCCTCGTGGAAGGAGCCATTATGCAGGAAGTTCTTCCGCGTGCCACGCACCTGGTTGTCTGGGTTAAGAAAGGCAATCACTTAAGTCCCAGGACCCCATCAGTACCATCCGTACCGCGGCATTGGTCCAAACCGATTTTTAGGAGTGACAACAAGATCTTTCCTTGGCTTCTCAACTGACGTGCTGCCCTTTTAGCCCGATTGCGGTGTGGAAATTGCACTTTAAGTGACGGCGTCATGTTTGAGTTCTGATTGTTGACTACAAAGGTAATGCAAAAATTTAGCACGAAAAGGAAGAAATCAACCTGTGATCGGGTAATGACCAGTGATGAGAATACTAAAGTGAGGGCTATTAGTACCTAATTTGTACAATTTTTTAAAATGAATATATATATTTATATAAACAGGCTTTTAGATTTAGTTACAAGCTTACATCTAATGATTCATTTTTTTAAAAACCTAACAATTGTTGAAATCACGATATTAACTAACTTATTTCATTTTATGTACAATTTATTTTTACATTTTCTGGACCCTTTCTATGCAAAAGTGCTACCTTTCCCATCACTGATAACGAGTATTTAATTAGCGCGAGCTTGTGTGGAAAAGCCGGCAGTAAGTCAATGGCGCCAAAACATGCAAATTGGTTAATCATGCTCCATCATTTATGAACTTGGCACTACTGGTGAAAAATGATAGATGATTGGCCAATCAAAATATGTGTGCAACTGTCGCTTTGGAAAATTGATTAAACTTTAAGTGAATAAACTCCATTGATGCATGTAGTATGAACGAATAAAGATTAAAAATGATGATATTTTAAATATTATTACTATAAAGTTGCACCAGAACTCCAAAGGAGCTGGAGATTAAATCATTTATGGTAAATAAATATAATATTAAACCAAATCATAAAGGGGCTTAAATCGCCCCGAAAGCAACTGAATAAAAACGACAAGAACTCCGAAAACCGAAAATGCCAGTGGTCAGGCTTGAACTCCATTAAATACTGTTAAAAAAAGATGCGTTAGTAAGCTCTAATTTAAATACGTGTAACATTTCGAAATTCATTTTTGAATACACGTTAAACACGTCTAGAATTTTTGAACATCGATAGGCGCCTGCGCAACAATACAATCGATAGAACAGTGCGCCGATAGACGCGATCGGTCATCGACAGGGTAATCGGTGATCGGGGCTCGGGGTTTAGGTTTACAAGCCTCTCTTATAATTGTATCGTTCTTTATTCTTGCACGATCGGTGAAGTCGTTCGCGGGACAGCGCTGCGCTACTGTTGTTATTACTGCTGTTTGTTAATTGCCAAAGAAAATACGACATTTTACGCTGTGTGTGCGGAGATCTCTCGGTTATTATTTTGGAGACCTCTCTTTCGAACAAGTCAGAGTCAGAAGCAGAAGGCCAGAATCGGATATATGGTTTTGTTGCATTTTTTTTTGCTGTGTTGCGCGGTTTAATGCCAACATCGGTGTTTGTCAATTCGAAACGAGTGCTGTGCCTTGACAAAATGCAATTTAAAAGCATTTAAGAAACGCCAAACCAAACGAAGAATATATAATAAGCGGAAAACACTGAAACGGGTTCGAGTTCGGGTGAGTTGTTTTTGTTTTTGTTTCTGTTTTTTTCTTTTTCTGTTTCTCTCTTTCAAGACCAGAATCCGGCCAAAAGCGGCCTTACTTTTGTTAACAATTTGAGTTGCGCGTTTTTATTGTTGTTGCATTTGGTCCACACGCACTCACACACGCGCAAATTGCAGTTGTATGGGGTGTATGGATATGTAATGGAACGATAATGGAACGGCTGTTTCCACAATATAATATATCTTCATCTCCCTCGCTCGCATCCCAAATCCCGATTCCCAATTTCCACCCTCAAATCAGCAAAGTGGAGAAGGGGAAAGAGGAGACAACATAATGCAACAAATACACCGAGAAAAATATATATTAGATTCCCTTCGCATCCTAATTGCTATTTAAAGATGTTAACATTTTGAAACACTGAATCACTCGAAAGCTTATGGATCTTGAAAAATTGAATCATCTTATCAAACGAAAGACTGCTGAATAATGCATCCATTTTATTTTAAAATGTTTCAAAAATATTTTTTGTTAAATACTACTGACTTTTTAATAATATTTTGGTTTATTTCTGATCACCGTCTTATGAAGAATTTTTAGATAAAGATTTATCTTAAAACTTTTAATTTTTAAACTTGTAATTGTTTATATATGCATATGTACTTCTCTTAAAATTTGTGAAGAATAGATTAACAACCAATCTTAAAAATCTACAAATTTATTTTCTATGCTCATTTACATGCTTAGACTCTAATAATGCCCCTGTCCCCACAGCCGAAGTCTTTTGTTTTTATTTACACAGATTTTTGATTCCGTCGCTTCCGATGTGTTTTCTCTTTTTCTCCTCCTCTGTCCAAACACCAGCTGCATGAATCATCTATTTTCCCTTCCCTTTCCCACCGAAACAGTTGGCAGTCTCTGAAAACAACAAAAAATAAAGAAAAAACCCAGCTCCAAAACGATCCAATACTCATGTGCACTATCTACAAAAGCACGTCATATAGTATAGTATACCCCTCCTATCGAAAACTTATTTGGGTATTACACTGTTACTTAGCTTTCGATTAGTCAGCAGACTGCCACAAAAGCTGGAAATATATCTGGTACATTGACACAATAAGAAAAGCTTCCGTCTCCTTTTTTTTAAATTTAATATATTTTTATAATAGATACATGAGAAAAGCATCCATGACAAGAATAAGCAACCCTCTCAATACATTCCTATAAAAATAGTCTTCGTTTATCTGGTTATCATCAAAATTAATTGGTATTTTTATTTATAACAAACGAAAATATTAACTTTAACAATTACAAAAAAAAAAAAATCAAAATATTTTTTTTGAAATTTATAATTTACAACTGCTGACAAAAATATCACAGATAATTGATCAGTGCCCCATATGATATGTATATGTACATATTCTTTGATTAACACTATTTGCATTCGACTTCCCGCCCGCAAAACACATATATTTATTGATTGATTATTTTTTAAGCTTCGTTCCGCTGCTTGTCTTGGATTTTGAAGGGGCTCCAAAGAATTCGGAGCGGTGGGAACCCAAGGCTGATAAGACTTTGATGTACATAATATATGTTCCTTATGTGCTTAGCTGTGTGTACATAATATGCATATTTGTGAGGGGGAGCTTACCAGGGGGAGGGGAGAAGAAAAGTGAGCAGAGGGCGCGATCTGTACATCCCGAAAAGAGGGAGTGTTATCTCTGATATCTGTGCCATCATCATTGCCATCTGTTGAGGGGCAGCTCAGACACACTCACGGTTAAATGTATAGATCTAGATATAAAACAATTACCATTAGGTAATGTATTTATTATGATAACATTTCAACACGTCCAGAATACCTACAACAATTTAAATTCAAATCTTAAAAGGGCACAATTGCTTAAGTTAATTTAACCCAAAAAATAATTCCTCAAAAACCTAATAAATCATAACGAAAACAGTTGTAGATCAAATACAGTTTAATACGGTTTATGGGCTTAAGAATGAATTTAACACATTTTATAAAGTTAAAATAAAATTCTTAATTATATGATTTGTCGTTCGAATATATATTATGACCACCGCTGCTGTGTCGGCACGCATATATGGGAATGGAATTAAATGAAACGACTTGGGTTGGTGCTCATATTGGACGGGATGCCATGTTATGTAGGATGCATATTCAGATTTTCAGTTGCGGAGCGGTGGTTGCTCCCCCTATTTAACATGAAAAATATGAACGAAAAACTGAGGATACCGAAAGAACTGAAACAATATACATAGGGCTCAAAAACAAACACACATGTTGATCATGCATGAAAGCGAACCGCTCCCCCGTCCCCCACTTATAACCCCCATCATTCCCTATGCCCCACGCAATATTTATACATAGTACCCCTTCTCGGGGCCCTGAAATTCCCGTTCCCATTCCCAGTACCAGGGGCGTAGCACCACCACCACGCACCGGAAACATCGTTAAATGCGTAACAAGGCGCTTTTTAATTTAGCCGATCCAAATAAAAAGCATTAAATAAATGAAATTGTGTGCACATGCAAAACATTTGGACTCAAGCGTTATCTGCAGGGTGAAACCCACGAAAAAAGCATGACAAACCGCGGCTTAATTGAAACTGTCATTGATTCAATACGCACAACATAACATACGATGGTGCGTTCTTTTTTACTGGGAAACTGAAACCGAAACGGAATCCATTTGATTGCATTTGTGTCGCAAGACTCTTTTTTGTTTTTCCACCGCTTTCGCCGCTTATCAACCGGGAAAAGAAAGGAAAATGAAAATTTAATTGGTCGTAAAAAAGTGCATTAATGGTAAAGTTGCTGATAGCTTCTTGCCGCCTGTTTGCAAAGATAACAATATTACAAATTCCATAGGGGCCTCTTCAAGAACAAGATTTCAAAAAAAGAATCTCTTTCGAAACCGAGAACATGAGTAAGGGCTGCAGAAGATAAGGGATCTTCTTCACAGCATATCGAACCAATTATTTATTTCCAAATTTCAACTTTTTGTTTCAAAAAGAGGGCAACCAATCGTTTGGTTTATCGAAATGGCACTGAAATCGCTTAAATCGCGCGCGTTTATCGCTTCGAATAAAATTTGTTTTCTCCTCACGTCATAAAACTTGAAAGTGAAATAATCCTCATAATCGTTGAACAACATGTGTTAATCGCTTCGAATAAAATCGAGACATTATGTCCTGTATCTAAACTCGTTAATATTTATTACAAATATTCAATTCATTGCTTCGTTTTATTACGGTAGTAATCTTTATGGTATGCTTTTAACTTATCTCGTTTGTTGAATGAAAAAACCCTGTTTTCTATCGCCAGCTTTCTTCCGATAAATGGCATATTTAGTTTTTAGTGGCCTATTCATGGGAATATTTTTAAAAAATTATTAAAAACCCGGATTATCGATATGAACTCTATATCGCAGCACTGACGACATACTTGGCATTATATTCTCCGGCAATTAAAAGACATTGCAACGTAGTCGTACGTGACTAAGAATGAAGACAGTTGAATTGAATAAGAGAATCGTATAATTATTAAAAAGAAAGCAGCGGAAACTGGTCAACCATCTGAATATTATGAGTCAACAGACAACTTACTTGATTAGCACAAAAGCCTGTTCTCACCTGTATGCAAATAACCTTTACGTTTGTAAATAGTTAAGCAGGAACTTAAGATGCCACCAGTATTTTCGCCAACAAATCAACGAAACTTTTTCTGAAGCTTTTAATTACAACTATCAAAGCCGTCGTTCATGTTCCTGTCGTCGTTTGACATTGATCTCCTTCTGAATCCTGATTTGATAATAACTAATCTTGTAGCCATCAATCACGCAGTCAGCAGCGATTTGAAATGTGCAAAACTATTATTTAAAGCTGTTTGCCTTGCTCGAGTGATGAGGAAATTGGTGGAAAACTCGAACTTTTGATGAAAAATTCGTACAAATGTGAATTCAAATCGCGTGCAAACCGGCTCGACGATCATTACGGTTGACCAGTTGGCCGGCAAAAATCTTATAACAAAATCAGTTCGCATAAATCAAATGTCTCGGATGCGATAAGTCGGTGGGAGTATGCAGACCACAGACTGACTACACACTACAGCCTACAGACCACAGACTTCCTCGCTAATCCCGCCGATCGGATCGGGTTTTCCTCAGACATGAGCTAACTGGGCTATCGCATCCGCAAAGCTGCAATTAGTTAACTGTTTCAATCTGTCTGCTAGTGTATTCATTCATTCACAGATTTTCACGCCAGTGGAACTTGATTTTGTGGATAATATTATATTTCCTTTTTCGTGCATAGAAAGAAACTTATACGGAAGGAGTGTGTTTCGCAATCTACTTTAGTTTGTAAAACACAATCAATATAAATGTATTATTTTATACAAATCAAACAATTATTAAATATTTAAGATTGTAAAATACACAAAGTATAAAATCTTTCGAACGGGTTATTCAATTTATTCTTTATTACACAATGAGAGTTATCTCAAGCAATTATCAAATCAAATTATATTTCAACTTATTTTTTTTGAGTGATCGTCAAAATGGTTCTTAAACAGGCAAACTTCCGTATTAACGAACACATCCGGCTTTTAATTTTCCCCATCGAAGCCCATCTAAAATCTATACGGGCTGCATAAGTCCAACCAATAAGATAACAAAATTAATAAAACAACTAAGCAGATCACTTCTTCAGGGTGTAAATGCTAAAGCGAATAACTTCTTTATGTAAAATAAAACCAATTTTGCTGTCTATGATCTACAACATATTTTATTCAGACTAAACAGAAATAGAATGGCAATAGGGTTTATCCCTTATTTACCTAGCCAATTAATTTAATAGGCAAAGGCTAATGCTCTCGTTTTCTGTCTTTCCCCCGCAGAATGGACAAAGGCATGGACATGGATATGGATATGGGAATGGGACAGGACATGCTGATGGATGCCCCAGCGGCCACTCAGTCGATCTACCCGCATTCGGCGACATTATTCGCGGCAATTAGTGCCTGTGTCTTTGTGACAATCGGCGTTCTTGGTGAGTAATACCAATCCCCGATCGACCCAGCCCCTGCTAACCTGTTTCGGCATTGTTGGCCCCGCAGGTAACCTGATCACCCTGCTGGCGCTGCTCAAGAGCCCCACGATACGGGAGCACGCCACCACCGCCTTCGTCATCTCGCTGAGCATCTCCGACCTGCTCTTTTGCTCCTTCAGTCTGCCGCTGACGGCGGTGCGCTTTTTCCAGGAGGTGAGTCATCTTGAAAAATATGAATACCTCTAGTGGTAGTAAATCCAAGTATTTCTTACTCAATTTAAACAAATATGGAATTATGAATATATTACATTTTAATACATTTTTCTTGAATATAACGCACTTAAAAAAAGGAACCCTTTTTTTAAATTTAATATTTTCCACATATATTAATATTAATTCATGCAACTTAATATGGGTCTGTATTTAACATTATGCTTTTATATTTCATTCAAATAGAATAATAACAATAACTGTGTAGGGAATCTATTCTGGTCATTATTTTTTCGATAATGCCAATATCAACCCGTATATTTTTCAAATAATAATGTTTCTTTTTTGTTTCACACCAGAGCTGGACCTTTGGCACCACGTTGTGCAAGATCTTTCCGGTGATCTTCTACGGCAATGTGGCTGTTTCACTCCTAAGCATGGTGGGCATCACCCTGAACAGGTAAGCCCAATTCAGTCCTTTCTGTCATTGGGATAAGCTAATCCCCAAACGTGTTCTTAATCCTCTGGCAGATATATACTAATCGCTTGCCACAGCCGCTATTCGCAAATATACAAGCCCAAGTTCATAACCCTGCAGCTGTTGTTCGTGTGGGCCGTGTCCTTTCTTCTGCTGGTAAGTGATTTTCACTTATTCTTAAAAAAAATTGTTTACAAGGTTCTCGAAAATAAAAGTGTTACAAGAATTTAAGGCTTGGTAATATAGAAACTGAATTAAAAATCTTGAGAAGTTGCTTTGAAAAATAACATACTAAAAAAAAAAATAAATAATAAAAATGTACAATTTTTTTTAATATTTAATTATTTTAAAAAACACCTTTATTATTATTAATATTATTTTGTAAAGCACGTTCACCCTTTTTATATAACATATTATATTTTGAAAATTTAACGTCGGTAGAAGAAAGACGAAGAAACTCAGTGATACTCATTATTTTTTGAGAGCTTTCAAAATTAAAAGAAAAATCGATAATAATGGTATATTAATTCCGAACTTTTGAAATATAATTAATTAATTTTGAGATATTTTAAAAACAACATCGTCATACAAACATGTAGGCTCTATAATTAAATCGATTCCGAGATATTGTCACGCAACATATAAATCAATTAAAAAAAAACCCAAACTCACGATAGTGCTATGTTGTTTACTTTCACAGCTGCCGCCCATTCTGGGCATCTGGGGAGAAATGGGTCTCGACGAGGCCACCTTCTCCTGCACGATACTCAAGAAGGAGGGACGATCGATCAAGAAGACGCTGTTCCTGATCGGCTTCCTGCTGCCCTGCCTGGTGATCATAGTTTCGTACTCCTGCATTTACATCACGGTGCTGCACCAGAAGAAGAAGATTCGCAACCACGACAACTTCCAGATCGGTGCTAGTGGGGCGGGCAAGGGCTCCTCCTCCTCCGCCGCCGGGGGATCCTACATGACCACCACGTGCACGAGAAAGGCGCGCGAGGACAACCGTCTGACCGTGATGATGGTCACCATCTTCCTGTGCTTCCTCGTCTGCTTCCTGCCGCTGATGCTGGCCAATGTGGTGGACGACGAGAGGAAGACCTCGTATCCCTGGCTGCACATCATCGCCTCGGTGATGGCCTGGGCCTCCAGCGTCATCAATCCGATCATCTATGCGGCCAGCAATCGCAACTACAGGTGAGTTTGAGATCTATATCGACATGCATTCAGCCTTAAATCATCTATATGACTAATCCCTAAACTGTTCTCTTTCAGAGTGGCCTATTACAAAATCTTTGCGCTGCTCAAGTTCTGGGGCGAGCCGCTGTCGCCGATGCAGAGTAGAAACTATCACCAAAGCAAGAACTCCAAGGAGCTGTCGGGCGTGATCCGCAGCACGCCGCTCTTCCATGCCGTGCAGAAGAATAGTATTAACCAAATGTGCCAAACATATTCAGTATGAGATCGAGATCGCCGCAGTCGAGTCTTTGTATTAGAGCTTGTAATTCATATCAATTACCTACTTATTACTTTTTAATTTATAAATGTATAAACGATGTACGGCAGTGCTAGCATCAAAGACAATCGAATTAAATATATATACGTAGACCAATTGAGAATTCTGTGCTTTTAAATTGAATGTTTATCCCAGAGTTGGGTTGAGATGCTATTTGTGCTGTGTTGCAATCTTAAACTATGTTGTTTCAAATTAACTATAAAGAAATTTACTCGACGTTTTGTTTCTAAATATATGATTTTAGCTTTGATATAATCATGTTCAACTATTGGAATTGATCTAGCTTTGTATAGGGCTTTCAAAAATTAAAGTTGGGAATTTAGTTCATAGTTAATATGCAACATGTTAATGTTACTGCAAACTCAAATCATGATGTTTTTCCATTAAAACTATTGTTGGAAACTCAAACTACTATTCCATATCAACGGTTAAGAAAAAGAATAATCTAGCTTGTTGGACATATTTTTGTGTCCTCTAATAATAATAATAATATCTAATAAAAGTGTGGCAAAAGACCTTGGCATACTTGATATGACTATAAGGTTTAAAACTTATTGGAACCCTAATTTAAAATGGGTTAGATTACATATTTGTGCTACCCTTGTTAAACTGCATTTTGTCATATTTGTGGGCCAGACTTATCGCATTGAAGTTCAGTACCTCAAATAAGTAATTTCTTCTATATTTTTTATCTGGACAAAGACCTCTCACGTGCGATCACTCAAGTAGGATGACAACTGAAATATATTCTCTCTTAACATCAGAGATATTGCGCTGGTAAAGCACGCGTTTACAACTCGTTTGGATAAACCCATGGACGCGCCATGTGCCACTCGCGATTATTGGTCACAAATCAAACATATTTCGATAAATTCACTTTAAAAAAAAGGTTTTATTTTGTATTTTTTCTTCATCGTGGAACCGAAGAACCCTTAACGCACACTAGACGGACGAGAGGACCGGCATGTCCGTAATCCGGAGCACAGATTCTGGACGCACCATCCTAGGCCTTGACGGCGAACTTGCGCTGGGGGAAGACGGAGCGCTTGCGGATCTCCTTGAGGGTCTTGCGGTTGGCATCCCGCGGCGAGAGGGCCTTGCGGATGGCGCGGGTCTTCTTCCTGCGCAGATCCAGGGGCTTGTACTTCTTGTTCTTGAACACCTTGCGCAGGTTCTCCTTCTGCTTCTGGTGCATCACGATGTACACGCGGGCGATGGCCTTGCGCACAACGCGGCTGTATTTGGGTTGCAAACATTAGTAGGGGCTTGTTGGTGGCATTGGCATTAGGGGACGCCACAACGGATATGGATACTCACATCTTGGAGAGCTTCGAGGGAGCTCCGCCGGTCACCTTGGCCACACGCAGGCTGAGCAGCTCATTCTTGAGCTCATCCAGCTGCTTGGTGAGGTCCTTCTTGTCCTTGGTCCTCAGTTCGGAGCACTTAACCTTCACCTAGACGCCGCAAACAAATAACGCAGAAAACACACAATTAGAATTCGGCACACGGAAGGAGCACAAACAAAAAATAGCATTTCCATCGCGCAGACCCGTCGGCGGGCGCTCATTAGTCGCCCTCTCAGCGATTTCCCTGCACGGATGGCCGCTAATTCGGGAAATTAAACTTCGCAAAAACCAACCATTTTTCTCGCTGTCACGTCAAAAAAAGAAAGAAAGAAAGAAGAGGAGATGGAATCTGAACTAGTTGGTGGTGGCACTGCTGTGGCTCCGCGCGGCGAACCAGCTGGCGGCGCTGTTATCGAACCGGTTCCGACTCCGAGCTATGGGCTCGGCTATAATAGCTATATATGATTTCTTATGATTTCACATATGAGGTTTGGTTCTTAAATTATTGTTAGTTGCGAAAAATTATGAGTTTTATAAGTTAACTTGACAGCTGTTTTCTGGTATATAAGAAATTCTTATTTATTAAGCTCAGAGGTTTGATGCCATAAATTACATTATATATTGGAAAAAAATATATAATTATAAAATTTCGGTTAAGTAGTATTAAGTAGTATTGCTTTTAAGTGTGTCTAGATCTATTTTGTCCAACAGCTAAACAAATTATATGTTGACATTTCAAAAAATTTTTTTGGCCGGAAATATTTCTTTATATATTTTGCTATACAATGAATTTTTTTTATATAAGGAAGTTATTAAAATATTATTATAATATGGAAACGCTTGGAACATTATATATATTATATATGTATTATATATATATATATATATATTAAAACCAAAATAACAGAAAGTCATTTAGCTGCAATCCGTTTTATTTTGTATTGTATTTTCACAGAAATTGCCATTTATAATAACTTTTGAACAAAAAAAAAGAATAACTTAAAATTACCATACACAAAATAAAAGAAACGCAAAATGGATTATGGATTATAAGAAATACAAATTTTTTTTGATTCAGTTAGTAATACCATTTTTAATGATTATATATTTTATTTAATTAATTATTATATTGTCTATTAGTTTTTACTCAAAATAAAAACCAAACAATCCAATAAATAAAAAATAAATCTGGATTGTCAGCGTTAAAATAGAAAATTTATTACGGGTTATGTATCAATCCAAATAGCTGAATTCCTGCGAAAGTGCCACCTCTAGTTCGAACTTCTGCTCCAGAACAGGGCTGCAATCGCAGTTATCGCAGAGGTCCACCTCCAGCGTGAGAATGTAAACAAAGCAGCCAGGTGGCAACGCTGCAACGACGTACCCTTTAGATAAAGTACATAAATAATTGGCAATTCCCGTTTGTTTAAGTTATCAATAATAATAATAGGCAATTGGTGAGCGCAAGCAGAATGGCTGATCGGGCTATCAAGCTGTTGGTGATCGGTGAGAGCGGTGTGGGCAAGTCCAGGTAGGTGTATCATCATATTTCGGAGTCCCAAGTCCATGGAGAAAACCAACTGCGTATATAACTAAAAGTTTGCGTCATTTGTTTTCTTGTCTTCTGGCTTCCCCCCCAAAAATAGTTTAATCCGTCGCTTTGTGGAGAACAAGTTCGACGATAACCATGACGTCACGATCGGCATGGACTTCAAGAGCAAGGTGATGAACGTGGACGGGATCGACTACAAGGTGGCCCTCTGGGACACGGCTGGAGCGGAAAGATTCCGCAGTCTAACGCCCAGCTTCTACAGAAAGGCCTTGGGCGCCATCCTGGTCTACGACATCACGAACAGGGACTCCCTGGTGAAGCTGGAGGCCTGGTTGGCCGAATTGGACAGCTACAGCGACAATCCGAACATAGCCATCATTGTGGTGGGCAACAAGATCGACCAGGAGCGACTGGTGGACCGTGAGGAGGGGCGAAAGTTCGCCCGGAAACACAGGGCCCTCTTCATCGAGACCTCGGCCAAGTGCGATCAGTTCGTTAGCGATGTGTTCAAGGATATTGTGGAGAAGGTGGGTTTCAATCAAATGATAGATGTTTCGATCAAAACGATCATTAAGAGCTATCTTCGAGCACTTTTTCAACGAAAACTAAAAAACATTTTAAGTAATTAAGTAATATGTTAAAAAAAGATGTGATAAGTAAATATCCATTCTCTGTTTTTGTTTTGCGGTGACCAAAATTCTAATGAACTGTCGAAAGGTTTAGTTTACTTACTCTGTAGTTTAGACTTTAATCGAGGGATTTTTAAAACTATGCATGGTCATAAAAAAGCAATTCTTATCAAAGAAAAATCGAACGATTCAAGCCTACATTTTTGTATTTTTTAAGTTATTTTGGTCACCAATTCCAAAATGCCATTTCAAGGAAACGGAGTTAAAAATTTATAGTTAACTCACTAGACAGTCTTCTATTCCTTTCTTTCAATGCTGTTATCTTTGTCAAATTTGTTAGAATTGAAATATCAAGAACGTAGTTATACTTAAAAATATGCAAACAATTTGTAAAATGAACTAAAGTTAAAATTCTAATCCTTTACAGATTGTCTCCTCCGAGTACTTCAATAATGGCAATGGCTCCGCCGGTCTGGACATCGCCAGCGATCGGAATCTAGAGGAAAGCGCTTCCACGTGTTACTGTTGATATACGGATACGGATTTTCTGCGTGCTTTTGTCAAATTTATATCTTGTATTTATTTAATCGTTTCAATATCACTAGCATAAAGTCAACCTCAACGTTCAAGTCGTCTACTCTACTCTCTGATCAGGGATTAAAGTTATCTACTCTTAATTTGTTTTATCTTGATTCGAGTTTAGGAACCTGTGAAGTGGGCAATATTTAAATAGACTGTTCTTCAGAAAAATTCTTTATTTATGAAAATTTTGATTTCATTTAAAACTCTTTCAGTTGTTTTATAAATCTTTTGTAATACACTGTATTTATTATTATTATTAACACTAAAAAGGATAAGATAAGTTAAACGATTGTAATATATGATTTATAAAATCTTGTTTTCCTTTAAAATTTTGAATTTAACTTATTAAAAAAAATATTCTATATTGCTATTATACTATTTACTTCTTATTAATAAATTTTAGAGAAACGTAATTGTTAAAAGTGGAATTTCCCAGATAAGCTTGCAATACAAGTTAATATTTTTTGCATAATTCGAACTCTAAAATCTTCTTAAATAATATGTACATTGTTTTGAATAATAACTTTGATAAGAAACTTTAATCTAAAATGTTTATATTTAAGAAAATACTTGGCAAGATTAATTTTCAAAGCTAGTCTTACCTTTAATTTCTTCCAACACAGTGGAAATGGTCTGAGTTAAGCATATATGGTACATAGCATCAAACATATTCTAAGGCGAACTCAAATGAGAACTATTTCGTTATTAAGAACTTGCAAAACTCCCCTCGCGAAATCAAAATTCAAGTTTGGCGTTTTCTTTTCATTGTTTTATTTAAATGAAGACAGTTTTTTGTTTGCGCTCGTTTCGAAAGAAAGATCTGTTGCGAAGTACCGCAACAAAAAAAAGGGGGAGAATTGGATTAGAAAGCAACCGAAATGTACATGGCTACATTTTTGTTTCGTTAATGTACGGCTTTCTTGACTTGTTTGTTTCTGCTGGTGTGATTTTATAAGTGAGTTTAGTGTGTATTTACAGTTATCGATGATTAATATTAGCAATTAACGCTAACAAGGTGGTAATTGAGAAATCCTTGAGGCTGCGCTTGGCTTCCGATATTCAAACTCTTGCTTTTCATAATTGTTTGTTTGTTGTTGATCTCTTTTGCACGCAGAAGCTTAGAAAACAAAGCTCGACAGTTGGCGGCCACAATTCCTGAAGCACGCCCTGTATGTACAAAGTTGTAATCATCCGTAAGAGTAACTTAGAGTCTAGAGTCTATTCGCGCAGTTGCTCCTCCTTCGATCCCCCGATCCGCACCCGCTCCCGCCCGGTTCCCCAGTTGCCCAGATGAAGGGCACTTCTACATCCTACTTCCCCGCAATGCCGCTCTTCTTGGCGTCCAGTTCGTAGATGAGCAGTCGCCACATCTTCACCACAAACACCTCCGCCTCTTCGTCGAGTACCTGAGATTCCATTCGAAATAGAGGGAGAAGGGTAGAGTTTAGGATCAGATTCAGATGAAAATATCAAAGTGAAATACAATTGCGGTGAGCATAAATAATAGCACTTGTTTGTATTATGTTTTTGTCAGTATTTTAAAAACCTAATTTTCTTGAATTTACTTTTTTCATAAAAGAGGCTACCTCTAAAAATTGTTTATATTGTTAACTACTCATTTTTCGTGTTTATAAACTTTAAAATCGTGTAATATTTTTTTTTGTCCTATGTTTCATTATCTTTTGTTGAATGTTTTGTTTTTTAAATTCAATAACTTGTAAAGTATATTTCCGATTGAAATAATTGAAAAACTATAACTTATTTAATAAGCAAACCTCTCACATTTTTAGGCATAATCTTTAGTGCTATTATCGTAACTGCAACAATCTCACAACCGGAACTCACCATTTGCACATCGTCGAGGATGTTTTGGGGCGGGCTGCCGGCCAACACTTTGGAACATATAAAGTCCACCAGCGTCGGCTCCGGCTCACCGATATACTCGATGATTTTCTTATTGATCCATGGACGTATTTTGCGTTCCATTAGACCGCTGTCAATCTCGTTGCGGTCAAGCTTATAATTAAATAGCTCCTCCTTTTGCGTGGGAATCCTGTCAATAATGCTTTTTATATGCCGCCGTTTTTCATCATACACCTTTGCACCATTCTCATCCTTTTTGGTGTTTGTAGCGACAGCATCTGCGCTACTGCTCGCAGATGCAGCTGCCTCATTCTTACCATGTTTGCTGTTGCTGTTATGTTTGTTGCTGTGGCCACTGCTGTTGCTGCCGCTGCCATTGTTCTTGGACGTGACCGACCCGGAGCCACCGGATCCGGAGCCACCAGAGCCCGATCCCGTTGCCGAGGAGGAGCCGCCCGCCTGGGCGATCTTCTGGCTAACGGCAGCGGCTGCAGCGGTGGCCGCCGATACGGCGGAGCTCTGGCGATCCGCCGAGCTGCTGTTGTTGTTGCCGCTGCTGCTGTTCGCCGCGGTGCTGCTTGGATGGGCGGATGGTGTGATGTTGCTCATGTTGTCGTCGTAGTCTGCGAATGCAAAGGAATTTGGAATTAGAAAAGGACTCTGATTAAAGCAGGAACTATAAAATCGTGCACCTATGAAAGCCTGACAATCAATTGACATATGCCTCTTGGTTGATATGTTGATAATGTTTTGCAATACATAAAACTATAAAATCGTGCACCTATGAAAGCCTGACAATCAATTGACATATGCCTCTTGGTTGATATGTTGAAAAGTGTTTTGCAATACATATTTTTTTAGATCTATATAAGAAAGTAATAATAATTTGTGAGACACAAGAAAATATCGCGCAAAAATAATGATTATTTTGTGAACGAAAGCAAACAGTTGCTTCCATTAAATTAGCTTTAAAAAAAAGGTTTAGTAATAATAAAACTCAAAAATTATAACCACAACTTTTTTTTCTAAAAGCGTTCTTTGTGAAACTTGAACGTATTCTGTAATTCATGAATAAATAAAAACAAACTAAAGACCTTCTTTACATACATAAGTCTACTCTATCTTATTGCATAGAAAATTGAAAATTCCTAGAAACAATTTAATCCCTTGTATGTGTGTGGTTTTTAGGTGGACAGACGACACTCACCTAGCGGCACCAGCTTGCGCTTCTTGGGATTGATATTCTCATCGTTGTCGTCGTCATTGACGAACACGCCGGTGGCCTCGAACTTCTTCTTCTTGAGGTTGTTGCCCAGCGTCAGTGAGATGAGGGGCATGGTTATGGGCGGCGTGGCCGAGGGCAGGAGGGCGTCGTGTCCCGATCCCTGGTCATTCAGCATGGCGTTCTGCGTGGGCGTGTGGATGTGGGCCAGGGAATCGCGCGACTCGCTGTTCTGCCTGCTCAGACTGTTCGACAGGGACTTGTTGTCATTGTTGTTGTTCTTGGCATAGCCACTGGCATTGGAGGCTGTATCGGCCATGGAGCCGTGGTCATCGTTCGATATGGAGTCATCATTCATGCCGGCCAAGTCCGGATCATAGCTATCCAGCTGCTGGTGGGTCTTTTGCCGCTGGCCATCGCCACCGCCACCGCCTTCTCCCGCCGCCGAGGCGGCCTGCTTGCGCTGCTGGTGGACCGATGACGTAGTGGCCGACGCCGCCGCCGTTGCCTCCAGATTCACATTGATCAGGATGCGCGGCTCGTACAGCTTCTCGATCTCGCGGCGCGCCTTCTCGTACTCCAGCGACGGGTTCTCGTACTCCCCGCTGAAGAACTTGGTCTTGAGCTCGATCAGCTCGTCCGCCTCCTTCTCGCGATCCTTGGAATCGGCATCGGCCTCGCGCATCCTTTCGGCCAGCCGCTGCTGCAGTTCGCGGCCGCGATAATACAGTGAATCGTCGCGCTCATCATCGTAGTCCTCGACGAACTCCTTCAGTCGCTTGGCATCGCTTTCGCGCTCCTCCTGACGCAGCAGCTCCTTAAGGCGGTACTGGATAGAAGAGAAGGAACAAAGAGGCGGGTTAGTAACCAAGTATCTACGATGGGAGGAATCTAACCAGGTGGTTCTTTCTCAAGTACATAGTTATTTAACAATGATGCAGATGAGAAATCAATTTTCTTGCTTTGTTTCGACAAGCCAAAAAGCTACTATTACTTTGACCCCAGCTGTTTATTGATTACCTGTCCAAAGCTGTAGTTAGAGGCTTACCTTCTCGTTCTCCTTGGCCTTGCGCTTCTCACGAATCTCCCAGTTGGACAGGCGCTCCTGGTAGGCGGCCTCCTTCTCGCGCGCCTTCTTCTCCGACTTCTTGCGATCCCGCAGCTCGTCCTCCATCTCCTTCTCGCGGCGCGAGTCCCGCACGGGCTTGAGGAGCTTCTCCTCCCGTTCCCGCTCGCGTTCACGATCCCGCTCACGTTCCCGCTCCCTTTCGCGCTCCCGCTCGCGTTCCCGCATCTCGTTGCGCTCCCGTTCCCGCTCTCGCATCTCATTGCGCTCGCGTTCGCGCTCACGCTCCCGCTCCCGTTCGCGTTCCCGCTCGCGCTCCTTGTCGCGAAGCTCGCGCAGCTCACGCTCGCGTTCCCGCTCGCGATCCTTGGAGCGGGACTTGGAGCGACGGCGTCGCGTCTCCTTGGAGTCGGAGCGCCGCTCCTTGTGTGAAGTGATATCGATGGTGGTGGTGGGCGGCTCCTTGCGACTGCTGCTCCTTGACGACTCCTTGGGCTCCTTAATGGCAACTGCATCCTTGGTGACAGCGGGAGCTGCCTCCTTCGCTACCTTTTCCGCCGCATCATTGGCTTCGGGGGCGTCGGAGGAAGCTTTGGCAGCTGTGCTGGACGAGGAGGCGGAGCTGGAGCTGGCGACTGCTGCTGCTCCGGACGAGCTGCTGGATTTGCTGGTCGAGGTCTTGCGCTCCTTCTCGCGCTGGTGCTTCTTGCGCTCCTTGTCGCGCTCCTTCTCCTTGCTGGCCGCCAGCTTCTCTTTTTCCTTCTCCTTCTCCAGCTCCTTGCGATGCTCGTCCTCCTCCGCCCGCATCCGGAACTTGCCAATCTCGCTGCTGATCAGGTTGCGCTTCTCCTCCTCCAGGGCATTGTCGTTCATCACCTTGATCTTGATGTCATCCTCGCGGCGCGTCTTCTTGTTGCGACTGGTGCTGCCGTACAGATCGGCGCGATTGCTGCCGTCGAATCCCTCGAACTCATGCTTGTGCTCCTCCAGCAGATCATGCATCTGGCTGATGGCGTACTCGTCCTCGGTCTTCTCGTCCACCGAATTGGAGCGATCCCCGTTCTTGCACTCCTGCTCCTTGTAGTCCTCGATGAGCACCTTGTTCTTGGCATCCACCTTGGCCACCAGCTTCTTGCCATCGATCTCCATCTCACTGAGCAGGCGCACAGCTCGCATGGCGGCAATGGGTCCGCTGCAAAGGGTCGAGAAACTCGGTTAGGTTAGGCTAGTCAAGTTTAAAAAGGTTGGGGGAAAAGCACCTTGGAAGACTGTAGCTTAGAAGAAACCTTAACCAAATAGAAATACTATAGCCCTAATTTTTCAATAGTTGTCATTTAAACGAAGTGTTTCCTAGATGTATCTTCATAAATACGTTTGAACAATGATGCAGAAGAGATATTAGTCCTTGAATAAATGTAAATATTGACGTTTAGAATGTTTGTTAGCTTCCTACTTTGGTAATTTAAATTTTATAATTTCTATAAATAAGCTTAGCTCTTTTATGTGTTGATTTAAATTATTAAACCTAAAGGCTTTAAATTTACCCCAAACTTATTTGTCCTTTTTTATGGCTCTGTGTGGGTTATTTAAACAACTTATGAGCCAGACTATGTTCGCTAAGAGTATAGAACTCTCAAAGGGGTTCCGATTTCCTTGAAGATGGGTCTATTTATACGTTTTGTGCTATTCTGGTGCCTCTTTCAAGCCTTCTATAAACAATATAGATGCAAGACTAGCTTCCTTGATCTTGATAGAACTCTCGAAGGGGCTCCTATTCCCTGTATGTACATCTTGAGCTTTTCTGGACCTTCCAAAGTGTCTATATTCCCAGTTTTACCCACTCGAACTCGCAGAAGCCGAATGTGGAGACCCGCTTCCAATTGATGACCACGCCGCAGCTGGCCAGGATGCGTTTGAGCAGCGCCTCCGGGACGCGTTCGCTGATGTTGCCCACGAAGACGGTGATGATGGGTCCGCGGAACTGCGGCTGTGGCTCCGGCGGACGATGGTACACTGTCGGCTGTGAGCTGATGGTCGCCGAGTTGCGGAAGTTCCTCGGCTGGTTCTGGCCCATGTTCTGCATGATCTGGAAAGTTGCAAGATGGGGATTAGAATTGGGACTTCTCCATGGGAGCCACCGTTGTGACCCAGAAAGCGAAAGAGGGGTGGGAAAAACTTACGTGCGGCGGCGGTATGGATGCATTCATGTAGGGCGGCATGGGCGCCCGCGGCGGGTACGACATCTTGTGCGCTTCAATTCCGCCTGCGAATCCTTTGGCTCCTTAGGAAAACTTAGGTTTCGGCGTGCTTTGCAAAATTAAAGCCGACAATTCACACACGCACACACACACACACGAGTGACGGGCACGAACGCACACACACACACACAAACACACACACGGACGGGGGCGCAAACGCCACACGGAGTGGTAAATGTGAGTGCGGATGTCCTGTTCTCTGCTTCCGGATGGGACCGCCTGCCAGGATCACTAAGCGGATCTCGGGTGGACTTTCCTGCGGCTACTTTAACTGCTAGATTTCACGGCGCGTGCTAAATCCACGCGTAAATTACCGAATCTCTCTCCTTTTTTTCAGAGGCCGCTGCTCTAGAGATGAAAGCTGTCAAATAGCAAACTGTTATCGATGGTGGCGTGTAAAAATCCATGTTGTTATCGGTTTGGCGGTAGGTCTGGCAGCGCCGTTGCCGTTTCGATTACCATCGAGTATACATGCTCCATCTATCGATACTTTCTAGACGTAACCAGTGAAACAAATAATAATATTTATTGAATAATATTAGACAATGCGAGTGGGCCAGCTGCTTCGCTTTCGGAGCACCGCCCTCCGGAGCTCCACCGCTCGGCAGGAGTACGTGCCACATCACAAGCCCGCCGTGGAGGATGACATCCGGCGACTGGAGGATTTTCTTATGTCCAAACCGAATGTTTTGGTTTTGACTGGTGCTGGCATCTCAACTGAATCTGGTGAGTTCCTTGGATTTAATCTGACTATTGGAAAGAGCCTTCCTGAATTGGTTCAGAAACCGTCACCAAATCTATTCCAGATTGTGCTCTGAACATTTCGAGATCAAAATCTAATTCGCCTCTTACGGTTAAAAAAAACAGAGTCTTTTCAAAAAAATGTTTTGCAAAGTTTTTTAAGTTATTGAAACTCGAATTAAAGTAAAAATAATAACTAATAATAGTCCTCAAATATTTCTGTATATTATTGTCAAAACTTGATTTTTAATTGCCGTATAATTAAATACATTAATTTTTTATAGATTTAAGTTTATTACAAATAAAATTATTTAATTTACAAAATTAACTAATGATTGCTCAGTTTTATAAATTCATAGGAGATCACTTTCCATCAAGGATAAAATTTTTTAAACGTATTTAAGGTTCACAAAAATAAGCTAACTGTTGAGATAGTCTGTTCAGGAAATGTCCTTTTTTCAATTCAACATAAATAAATCTATAAGAAATCCAAAGAAATGAGGAAAAAAATGGCATACAATGTAGATTTCCCACCCTGAGTATCAAATGTGTAACAAAAAATCTAAAATATGTTTAAGGCATTCCCGATTACCGCTCCGAGGGCGTGGGACTCTACGCCCGGTCCAATCACAAGCCCGTGCAGCACATGGAGTTCGTTAAGTCGTCGGCGGTGCGCAAGCGGTACTGGGCCCGGAACTTCGTGGGCTGGCCCAAGTTCTCCGCCACGCAGCCGAATGCCACGCACCATGCGCTGGCCAGATTCGAGCGGGAGCAGCGCGTCCAGGCGGTGGTCACCCAGAATGTCGATCGACTGCACACGAAAGCGGGCAGCCGGAACGTGGTAGAGGTCCACGGCAGTGGCTATGTGGTCAAGTGCCTGTCCTGCGAGTACCGCATCGATCGTCACGAGCTCCAGAGCATACTGGCCTCGCTCAATCCGGCGTTCAAGGATGCCCCCGACATGATCCGACCTGATGGCGACGTGGAGATCCCCCTGGAGTATATCGAGAACTTCCGGATACCCGAGTGCACGCAGTGCGGCGGCGACTTGAAGCCGGAGATTGTGTTCTTCGGGGATTCGGTGCCTAAGCCGCGACTCGATCAGATTGCGGGCATGGTCTATAACAGCGATGGCCTGCTGGTTCTGGGATCTAGTCTTCTCGTCTTCTCCGGCTACCGCGTCGTTCTGCAGACCAAGGACCTCAAGTTGCCGGTGGCCATAGTCAATATAGGCGACACACGGGCCGATCATCTGGCGGACATCAAGATCTCCGCCAAATGCGGCGATGTGATACCCAAGTTGTTCGACTTCCGTTCCTCGAAAAGTGCCAGCTAATCCTGGCTGTTTTTGCTGTTGTATGTATGTATGTACAAAAATCTTGGAATAAATTCAGCTGTGGTAAATGTAGACCTTCGTTTTATAGCAAAAACCATTCAATAAAAAGTTAATTTATTTATCTCTTAAACTTAGACTACGGCTTACGGCTTTTAAACGCCAAAATGGTATTGAGTCTTATACACATGTGTATTAAAAATATCAAAATCTGTAGGTATCGGAACTCCAAATTTCGAAATTTTAAAATCGGTGTACCCTTTAAAATTGTAGACTTTCCTTTTTAGCTAAAACCAACTTATAGTAACTATTTATTGCTAATAAGAAGATTAGAAAAGTGTTTCAAAAATATCAAAATCTGTAAGCAATCAAATTCTTAAATTTTGCATTTTAAAATGTTTTTAAATTTATTATTTATAATCAGTTGGCAACTCCGGCAGGGACCTGTTTTGATTTCGCGCAGGCTCCAGAAGGAAAACACAATGTGCGACGCACTGACATGCTTTCCCAAGAAAAGGGTTCTCTCATTCCCAGATTTTCACTCAATGGTGCTCTCCCATTGTTCTGTGAGCTAAAATTCCAGCACATCCCAACGGGAGCCGGAAGCAGGAGCGGCGGGAATGCGCACTTCCGTTGTTACCGGTCCGCTCACGTGAAATGTTTTTGTTTTTGCTCCAGCTTGCAGCTCTCTTTGCTCCATATAAATGAACCGCAATTAAGGCATCTCTCGCTCACACACACAAACAAACACATGCAGTGACAATTTTCACACGCTGCCCATTACCCCTTCCAATGCCCTCGCGCCCCGCCCCCACGCCTCTCACACAGCTGATGGAAGGAGAAAGATGCGTAGGCCGCGTCACAATGGGCAAAAAATACGAGATAACGGATCACTGATTATGTTGCATTTCCCAATAACCATACAAAACGGGTTTGCTTGAATAATCAAAGGTTTGTGTTAAAAAAACTCTCTCCGTTAAATTTGGAAGACTTTGGTGTGCAATAAATGCACACTGGTCTTAAAGATTATTTTGCAACAGGACGTATGAGTGATATACTTAGGACCACCCTAATGTACGTATGTATGATGCCTCAAAAAGTATGCTAAATTTTGCGTTGATTAGACATCCTTATTAGGAACTAGTCCTTAAGCTAAAATTGGATAAAGACTTGGGAGTGAACGTATAAGATATGTAAATAGCTCTCTAGCAGGCAACCACATTAAAAGTCTTGGTGCCCACCTGTACTCCTTTCGACCACCACTTGACTTCCTACCCTACTTTACGACGCGGATTCCGGGATTTGCGATAACGAGGCTCACTTGAAACTGGAAACTTTGGCGAACAAAGGCGAAATTGGAATCCGGTCAAGTGCGTTGTAGTTGTAATTGCGAATGCCGTTCGACAACCACCGTTAGCCGGCACGGCACCGTTATGTGCAGCTCTCACCCCCTTTCACCGCCCCTCCTCTCATGGGTCAGCAGTGCTCTCTGCAGTGCGCTCTCTTTCTTGCTCTCTCGCCCTTCCTTTCAGAGAGGCTGTGGCGCAGCTCAGATAAGTTCGATGTGGGTTCCGAGTTTAAGCTCGGTGCTCTCCTCTTCGTTCCTTCATTCCCGCCGGAGCAGGAGTCGCAGTTGGTCGGCTTTGTACATGTGAAGCGAGCACAAGTCCGTGCTTTCACCGAGCAGCCGGAACAACAAGCGCCGGAGTCGGAAACCGGAACACAAGCCGTAACCGTTGATATTTTTTTCTGTGCTGGGTTCAGTTATTGAGTGTGCTAGTGATTAAATGGTGAAATGATATAAACTTTTTATTTTATGAGTGCTAAAAGTGATTTTATTATTTATTATAATTAACAATACGGCTAAGCTTTATTTAGTAATAGCAAAAAAAAAATAAAATAAAACTCCCTACTACTTTTCCCTTTATCCTCTCCCCCCTCTTATTTCCTACTACGCAATTTCGCACACACTCACGCACTTAAATTGCGTATAAAGCCAAATGCGCAGCAAATTGCACTGCCACGCCCCTTCCAAAAACGCCCACGCCTCTGCAGAGAGAGAGAGAGAGAAGGCAAAAGGAGCTGAGAGAGCGGGATGCTGTGAGTGCGTGCGTGTGTGAGTATGCGTGTTTTTGACACTTCCTTGTGCATTTTAGGGATACACACAATGTGCGTGTGCAGTGACATTAAGTGAAAAGCCAAAAATCATCAGCTAACTAACTTTAAAAACTATAAATCGCTTAAACTTGGGAGAAAATACCAGGAAAACAAAGAAAAACGCACGCGCAAAAAATAAATCAAACAACGCAAGATTGCGCCCCTGCAGGCGTTTGTGTGTGAAGGAATTTCTTCAAAGGATATTAAGCAAGAGAGCGAGAGAGATTGACAAGAAGAGGGGAAGCCCCGTGCAGGCAGGACGACCAGTGTGCGAGCGAGATGGACAGCTCGCCGGATCTGTCGCTGAAATTGCGACGCGGTTCCAGCGATTCGCGGGATAACTTCTACATGGACTTTGCCCAAGGCATCGACTCCGACATCGAGGAGGTGGACAACACGGCAAATCCAGAGGCCGTGGCCGTTCCCCCGCCGCCACTGCCCACAGTTTCGCTGGCCGAGGAGGTGCTGCTCTTGGTGGCGCCACCTCCGCCCTCTTTGCTGGGTCAGCCACTGCCCACGCTAACGGAAACGGATGACATTCCTCCCACGCCCACGCCACCACCACAGCAAAAGGACGAAGAGGAGGAGGAGCAAGAAGTAGAGGATCAAGCTGATCAAGAGCAAGGAGCAAGGGCAGCATCTTCGCCACCGGGTTCGCCCATTAATTCAGTCCTGGAACTGGAGCTAATACCACCCCCTCCACTGTCACCCATGGATGATGCAGGCCTACGCACCGATGACGATGGCGAGGAGACCGATGATGCAGAGGAGGTGGTGGCCATTCCACCACCCCAGGCAATGCTAGATAACCCTGAAGAGGAGCAGGAGGAGGAGCCGGAAGAAAGCGCCAAGGAGGAAGACGAGGAGGAGGAGGACGACGACAAGTCCACGCCACCGCCACCCCTGCCACCGCTTCCCTCCAATCTCTCCTATGTCCAAGGCCACAATCTTGGCCAGGTGACCCCGCCCTTGACCAAGTCGCCATCCAACTCGCCTTCTCCGCCCGTGACACCGCCACCGTGTCCGGAACTGAACATCAGCCGGATGGTATCGCCACCGGCCCAGCACATCAGTCAGATACCCCCACTCACGCCCTCCGACGAAAGCGAGGGCGAGGCGGAGTCCCAGCCCAACTCACCGCCACCCAGATTGGAGGCGGAACAGCCGCCACCCGGAATGGAGCACGACGAACCGAACCCGGACCCGGAGGATCAGCAGCCCGAACCGGAGCCCGTGAGCGGAGCTCGCGAAGACTACAGCCGCTCGCTGGACAACGAGGATGAGTCCACCACCATCACTACGCCGCCCAGCAACGGCTACTCCGCCTCCTCCATCATAGCTCCGCCGCCCGAGAACTTTGCGGAGTTGGAGGAGGACAGGGGCTTCATACCGCCACCGCCCCTGGAGCAAGAGCCCGAGGAAGAGGAGGAGGAGGAGGAGTTGACCAAGGAGACGGATGAGATATCCGTGGACAGGGAATCGCTGCAGGATCAGGCCGGCGATAGCATCAGTTCACCGCGGGCGGCCAGCATCTTGACGGGATCAATTTCCACATCAGTTGGAGGAGCAGGAGGGTCACCGAAGCCCGAAAGCCGCGGGCCGAGTCGCAGTGGCAGCCAACGGTCGCAGCTGAGATCGGGATCACAACAGGGATCGTTGCCAGGATCACGGGGTGGCTCTCGAATAGGTTCCCGCACGGGGTCCGTGGCCTCCGCCCAAGCAGCTGGCGTTCTCTCCCCGCAGGCATCCCTCAAATCGCAAACCTCGATACGCTCGCAAGGACAACACACGGCCGTACGAAGTCCCGTCGGATCCATCAAGTCCGGATCGCAGCGCGTGCAGAGTCCGCCGGCCGGAGAGGGAGCCCCGGCGATGCCCTCGCCACCACTGATGCGGAGTCCGCCGCCGGAGTTGGCACGCCAGATGCACAGTCCGCCAAGGATCACGACGCCGCCAAGGGTCTGTAGTCCGCCGCTGGTCAGCAGTCCGCCCAAACTGGCCGAGTCTGCAGCCGCCGCCGTGGGAGTTGCAGCCGGAGTCAAGGAGCAGATCAGGTGAGCAAATCATAATAATGAATATTTATTGGGGAAACCAATGTTCGGATAACCAGCGACAAGATCGTTTTCATTGATTCGGTTTCGTGTTAGCCTCATCTTTCCTATAGAAATGGAAAACTTCATAACCCTTTTTAGAAATGTTGACGAACTTAAAAATTTTAAATATTTAAATTTTATAATTAATTAGATTTGTAATTATGAGTTGAATTAAACAATAATACAAAAAAAAATTTATGTAGGTACATAGGTATATGGTGTAATATGAAAAGAGAGCTATAAAATGTATTTAACACGTAAGATGTATATAAAAATGTATACAGAGCAAAGTGATCACAGGATAAGGGTACTTAAACATTGGGCGACATATATAAATAGAATTATATAATGATGTTTGAGTAAACTATGAGCCAGAAGGTAAATGTTTGACCCTTTATTATAAACATAGCTTTTTCATGTTACCTCACAGTTTATTAAAACACCCACAAAATTATGATATTCTCTTAAGGCTTGCGAAACTTCTTGCACAACTTAAGATGGAAATCTTTTAGGGTTTTAGGCACAGAGCCCAGAGCGTTCCCCAAGACGCTGCGCTCTTGTCGCGTATCTAACTGAACCATCTTGTCTGGTTTCGGATTCCCTCGGGCACTCCATTAATTGCATAATCGTCCTCAGAGCGGCGCATCTCCTCAGCCCCGATTTCATCTAACTACGTACGGCGAACTCATTCTCTTGGCCAGCCTCCATTAGTCGCTGCTAATAGCTCAACAAAACTGTTTAACTTGTGTGCTCGTGTTCATATCGTGTCAGTTCATCCCCAGCTCCTCCTCTTGGTCCTCTTGGTCCTTCTGGTTCTCCTCCTCCTGCCACGTAAAATGCTCCATTTGCACTCACTTCGCTGCTCCGCTTTGGCGTTGTCTGTCTGCATCCTCTCCTGTACATTAATTAAACATCACGTTTCCAGAGCAACACCCTGACAAGTTTCACGCCGTAAACAGAGCCGTATACTGAGAGAAAAGCGTGGGAGATGCCTCAACAAAAATTAATTATTTTACTAACAATACTTTTTATGCTTGAAGCTAGCCAATAAATAATTAAGAAAATATACATTAAACCAATTTGGAAGAAGTTATGACGCCTTGTAAATTAAGTTTAGTTACTAAAAGTTATCTTAAGCTATCCAATTCTTCAAGCAAATTAATAATTAAAAGCAATCAGTTTAATTAAATTTCCAAAACTTTTGCAAATTATCTGCTTGACTTTGATGGCTGGCAATTCAATATATGATAATCGTTCAGTGCATTGGCAACACGGCGTATGCTTCACTTGAATTGCGTATACGCCTGGGCTGCAGCCGTGGATACTGGTTAAGGAGGGGTTACGGACGGGGGTTATGGGGGTTACGGGTGAACACGGACTGCTCGATTGGCTTGACATGCACAAATTGTTGCAGCTCGAAAACAGACTGCAAAAAAAATAGTAAAAAAATGAGGAGGTGAAAGGTGAAAAGGATGCCCTGGCAGCAGGTTGTTGTCCTCGGCCATTGCCACGCCCATTATTATGTCGCTAAATGCAAGCGGCTCGACTGCAAATTGCCCCCAGGCTTCAGGCTGCCTGAAAGCACCCAAAAACCCCCCAGAGAACCACCTCAAAATGGGTCAATTGAAAGTTTGTTGTGCCATGTGCTCACTGACAACTTTTGTGCGATTGCCATTGCGGTTTTTACATTTGTCCGACTGCAAGGAGCACCCATTAACGGACATTTCCAGGCCCCTTTTGTCCGGACCTCGGAACCAGAACAACGAGTCTCCGGGGTGAATGCATTCGCACTCATGAATTCGTGATGTCTTCCGCCATTCGATCCGGAAATAAACTGCTCCAACTGATTGTCAGGTAACCGGATTGATGGTTGCTGATTGAGTCTCGACTCTTCAGATAGATCGGAAGCTATCTGGGTATCAATAAATGTCAATGACACGAATTTCAATGCGGTGGAAGTTTCGTATTGGTATAGAAAAGTTGTATTGATCATTCTATTACTTGTAAAAAGTTTCAACTCTATTTTTATACGGTTTTTCTTTTATTTATTCATTGTTGTCTCCAATATATTTGGGAAACTAAATTAAAAATTAAAAGTCATTGACGAGCTTTTCCTTACTTAAATATATAAAGATTTTATGGGTAGACCTTTTAAAACTTTTCAATTTCTTAATACAAAATTTCATTCAAATATGGATTTATTTGTTGGGTGAAAAATGTTTAAAGTTAAAACACAATATATATACTTCCACTTGGCTGAGGGATAATCCACTCAAATCGCTTTAGTTCCTTGTAGTTCGGCAACAAATTGCAACTTTGATTGAGAGTTACTTGTGGAGTGGCCCTCCTCAAAGTGTTTGCTTTACAGGTCGCGTTGGTTTGCCCTCTTTGACTTTGTGGTGCAGCAAAAGCAGGTGGGGAAGACGATGAAAAGCAGGCTGGTTCGTCATCCTATAATACAGCAGTGGTGCAGCGGGGGCAAAAGGTTACCGTCGTTTCGGGTTAACAACCCCGAAAAAATATGAGTACAACAAAAAGGACGCCATGAAGTATGCAGCACGCTTTTAGAAATCAGATTACAAGAGTGCTCGAGTGCATGACCCACACAATTGCACAACAGCTCCTTGTGTTGCATGCACCCCATGTCTCTGTTTGTGTCTGTGTCGGTGACTGTGTCCTGATGTCAAGGTTATTTATAAGCTCGAACCCCTCAAAAACCCACCTCTACCGTCCCCTTCCCCCAACACTTGTTGCCATTTTTCCGCACACTGAAAAAAGATGTGATTATTTGAGTGTAAATTTTATTAAACGAGTAGGTTGATATTCTTTCTAAACTGAAATGCAGTAGTAACTATTTTTATTTAATTTTATATGATACCTTTGCAACATAAAGTAGTCTATATTTAATAGTAGGTTTATAATACTCTTGTTATAAAATATTATTGCTTAAAAACATGGTATCAGATCAATTTTGAATATGAAAGTTGAAAGTTTGATTTAGTCAAATATAATTTCTACTCTGAAATGAAAAAGTTCCTAAAAACTGACACATTTTCTCCATGTTTCTGCCTCTAAATTGCAAATGATGCGACATCTTGTGATCCCGCTGCCAGATGTCGTAATGATGCCTCGGCATTACTTTCGAGTGGTTTGCGTTTCGGATTTAAAATTGCAATGGGGTCGATTTAAATGCGAATAAATGATGCGTGCTCGGATCTCACGGATCTCTGTTGGCATGGGAAGCGTGTGAAGCAGGATGTGGCCCCTCGAAAAATCCCGTACCCCTCTCCGGTTTCAGATTCACCTGTCATGCGACATATGCCATGTATGCATGCCGGTCCGCCTTAATTAAACATCCCAATCACGTACTGAAAATATTTCATATTTCCATTAAGCCAGCAAACATATTGCGGTTGTGTGAGTGCCGCCAGCTAAAATACTAGCACAAATCTCCATATCCACTTATCGAGGGTACAGTGCGAGTAAGGTTTATCAGAATTACAAGTACATCTATTTAAAAACACAATTCATTATATCCGCATTAAAAGGGTTTAAAAGCATTTTTTTTCGTTACAATTTTATTAATTAAACTCATTTTAGTAATAAATACTTAATTAATTAATTAATGATTTGAATTTGGTAGTTTTTTAATTACTATAGTTTTTTAATTATAAGAGCTTAAAATCCATTGAATATTTACTTGTTTAATGCTCCAAATATCTTTCTAATGTAATAAATTACATTTATTTGAATATATGTACTTTTGATAAAACAAAAAAAAAGCTTTTTCTAAAAATCAAATTGGTGGGCCATTGATAAGTCAAACTCTTTTTGTTTATAATAGCTTTTTAATAGTATGGCTTATAAACTTCAGGTTAACGGTTTTTTACTTTTTTGGTTTGTGATTGGCTTATCATCTAAAAAGCCCTGCTAAAATCACGAAACGCACTGTGTTTTTCGCATTGGTATCCCGATTTGCGCTGTGTCCACTAGACGGCGATTAGTTTCAATTGCCCGTGGCGAATGGATGGGGACTTTTCATTAAGTTTCTGTTTCGAGTGGGTATTGTTCTTTTTTTCGCCAGCTCTATGTGTTTATCTCGATCTGAATCTGAATCTGTGCTGGTATCCGTAGCTGAATCTCTATTTGTATCTGTTATTAAGCGCAATTTAGGAGCACACGCTGTGTGTGCCGGTGGGTGGAAGTGGGTGGAAGTGGGTGAAAGTGGGCTGAGGTGAAGGTGGGTGTTCCGGAAGGCCAGAGATTCCCCCAAAATCACAGTGTCTATAAATTGTGGCCCATCATCATCTTGCTGGGTTTAAAGTTCATGCGAAGGCTGTCGACTGGCCACCAAGTTCAATGTATCCGCGGCGGAAATGTCTGGCATCCGATACAATAAATCCCCACACACGCGATATATATGTACACCTATATATATATGATTCGAAGGGGAGACCATTATTTAATTAAGCCGTAGTCGCATGTAGTTGTGTCTGCAGAATCGGGTGCGGGGCTTAAAACCCAGTCCACCGATTCAGTGAGCCCACGTCGGTCCGCCAATCCAGCCACGCATACTATACATATTCTATATTCGCTAATGTCGACCAAATCCTCCTCTTCCTCTTCCTCTTCTTCCACCGCCTCCGTTTCCAGTTCGAGCAGCAGCACCGCTGAGCCACCGGAGCCATCGAAGTCACCGATAGCCACTGTGAGCTACCAGGATGAGCAGCAGCAGCAGGCACAAAAGCCACCGGCGGCGGCGGCGGTGGTCACCAGTCAGCCAAGGTCGCACTTCACGAGCAGCCACCATCACTACCACTTGCCGCACCAGTTCCAGCATCCGCACCACCAGAACCACCATACCCACAGTGTCCGGGTGCCCACGCCCACTGTGCCCAGCAGCTATGCCCCGCCCCCGCCCCCAGGGGACAGCGGGAGCAGCAGCTCGCCCGGGGATCGCCGGCGGCTCTTCATGGCTGCAGTTCCTCCAATTGCCACTTCGTCATCCCTGATGACCGCGTCCGCTGAGCCGGCGGTGGCCATATCTCCGGGCAGAGTGTCAGCCCGCTCGGGATCGCAGCACCATGTGACCATCGACGAGTCCAGCCTGCCCAGTCACCGGGGCAGCAACATCGTCCAGGAGACGCCGGGCCCCAGTGGCCTGATCATAGGCGGTGGAGATGGCGACGGCGACCGGGACATTGGCGGCGGCGGAGGAGGAGGCGACAGCTCGGATCCGCCATCATCGCCCGGAGGCAGCAGCTCCCAGCCGGGAGCCCTTAGCGGAAGTCAGGCGGACGGACAGCTGGAACTGATGTACCACTCGCACCAGCTGACCAACTACCCGGTGCTGCCTGCCATCAAGCGCACCCACCGGCCATCATTCGTCTATCCGCCGATGCCCAGGGTCAAGGCGTAAGTAGAGCCCAATTAAAATTTTAATATTCTTGAGAACATACACATAACATAAAGTAAATACCATTTGCTTTGTTTTTTATGACTTATTATATAAACTTTGGCATTCTCAAAATATAATACCTATTTATTTTGTTTCGTTTCTATTTCAGCGGCGATGCACTGGCCACTCTTTTCTCCGCACTCTATGGCAAACTATTGGTCGTGATGGGCATAGCATTTCCCATGGCAGAGGTTATATCAACCTATATCCCACCCTCCTTTTATGAGGTGAGAGCTATACATAATGTTTGGCATAATTCATTACAATTGGTTTAGCTACTACAGCAGTCATGGTGGAGACTATTTATTTACTTTTTATTTTTATTTTATTTTAGGTTTACTATTTGTACTTGTACATTGGCAGCATGATATTTCTGCTCTTTATGTACGCCACTTTGTTATGGGGACGTCCCAAGTTGCCGGTTCCAATTGGTTAGTAAAGGACGATTTTTAACTCAAATGTACGTATCCAATAATCTGAATAATCTTTTCGCCACAGCCACTTCACCGAACAAGTCGACGACGAAGGCGAGCGGAACGGACAGCATGGACGAGTCGGATACGGATAGTAACTCCGTGCACCACAGACTTCCTCCGGCGATTCCAGTGAGGCGACCATCGCTCCTCGCGCCGCTCGGAAGGCGGGATGCCCACTATGGCAGCTTCTATCTGCGCATGGGCGCCGTGGGTGAGTGTTCACTGTATTTAAATTCAACGTTTTCGAATCACGTTTCATATGCATATCTGAATTCTTCAGCAGATGATGATGGTCATGTATATTTATCATTAATTTAATTTAATTGATTTGTATACACCTTACAATAAAAATCACTAAAACCGATTACTGAGATTTGAAAAAAAATCTGATGTTACAATAACGCTTGCTATATATTCATATAAATATAATACTCAAATAACGATTATTTTTTATTTGTTTTCTTAAATATCAGTGTTATAATTTGTATTTTAGTTTTTAAATATAGAAATAACAACCTAAATGAACCTTAATGTATATTTAATTCCTTAATAATGAGAATTTTATTTCAATAATGATAATTTGTAGTCCCTGGAAAATAATCGTAACTGTGTTTGAAGCATAGTCTATATTATGTTCCTGTGCAAGTTTATATTTAATACTCCATAAAACTCACCTTCCATTTGCAGCCTTCGGAATCGGCAGCATGATCTACTCGGGTCTGGAGTTTGGGCAGTATTTCGAGCTCAATCCGGATACCAAGTGCCACAACGTACTGCTGGCCTTGACCCCGGCCACCCGGATGGCCTTCATCTTCATCCAGATGTACTTTATCTTCCTGAACAACGAGCAGATCAAAGTGTATCGCTACAAGATTATTGCCCGCTTCGGCCTGATGCACATGATCGGAACGAACTTGGCCGTCTGGCTGAATGTGTTGATCCAGGAGACGAAGCACGAGATATTGACGTTCTACAATCCGGAGAACCGCACGCTTAGAATTTCACACAGGATACCGGGTCACTCGAGGGGCCATGCCATAGTCCAGCACGATCCGACGGCCCATTTGCGGGTGCCGCGTGGTCTGAAGGGACCTTATCAGATCTTCGAGTGCCGGCGAACGAACATAATTGGAACCCTGGTGCAAGATGCCTCGCCCTTCCTCTTTCCCTGCACCATTGAGTACTCGCTGATCTGTGCGGCCATACTGTACGTGATGTGGCGCAGCATCTCGCGGCCACAGACGCCGACGCCCCAGCGCCCGGACATGATCAGTTCGCCGATGAAGCGTTCGCCGCACCACTACTCCGTGGACTGTGCCCGCGCCCACAAGGGCCTGTTCGTGGGCATACTCATCCTGGTGCTGACCATCATATCGCTGATTATCTTCTTTGTGCTGATCTCTCGGCCGGAGTTCGTGGCCCTGGCCGTCACCGAGGTGACCATTTGCGAGCTGCTGATCTACGGAACGGCCACGATAGCCACCTTGGTGGGGATGATCCAGATCCGTCATCTGCAGTATGACGCGTACAGGAGCTTCTCCCTGGACGACATACTGCTGGTGGGGGCGCAGACGGGTTCGTTTCTGTACAACATCTTCACGGTGATAGCCGGCCACTTTACGCTGCGCAGCGATGACATGCTGGTGCCCATCAACGCCCTGGCCTCCATTGTGCAGACCGCGTGCCAGACGATGTTTATTTTGGATGCCAGCCGCAGGCAGGCCGTCAGTCCGGAACATTTGCGCAAGAAGCCGGGTCGCGAGATCGTCACCTTCATGCTGGTCGTCAATCTGGCCATGTGGGCCATTAGTACGCTGGAGAAATCGCGTGCCGAGTCGCATCCCATACAGCTGAACTTCTACGGCTTGTGGGCCTGGACGATCATAACGCATGTGTCGATGCCGCTGGCCATATTCTATCGCTTCCACTCGACGGTCTGCCTGTGCGAGATCTGGAAGCGGGCCTACAAGCTGAAGCCGACGTATATGTGAGAATTCGCCCGCTCGCGCATCCAGAGCATTGCGCAGCAGCAGCAATTCTGCGAGGATCTCAAGACGAACCTGTCCTACTGCTACTGCTCTACGACGCTGGCTGGCGGTGAGCTGGAGACCGTCGAGGAGGTTGAGAGCGGGGCGAGCAATTCGGGTGGATCGGGAGGAGGATCAGGAGGAGGATCGGGAGAAGCAGGAGCAGCAGGATCAGGAGGAGCAGCAGGAGGAGCAGCAGCAGGATCAGGAGGAGCAACAGACGAACAGCAACAAGGCGGCGACAGCAGCTGTGGACTGAGGGCACCCATCCGGGCGCTGTCGCCGCAGTCCCTCAACACGGAAAAGGCCTTCTGTCCGGTTTACGTGATCAACGGCGAATGAGTTTACGCGCACTTTGAGTTCATCGACGCCATCAGCGGCCATGAGCTCAGCTTTGTCTAGGACTTGCATCCGCTATAGGGCTCATAGCCGTCACCTTACAACCACCACCAACACCAACACCACCATCACCATCAATCCACCCACCAACAAAAAACTAGGAACCCATCTTCGAGAGCAACATCCACCAAAAGCTAAAACATATAAATCCAAGCGGATGCAAGCGTTGAAAGCCCAAAAACATATCCTAGAAAAGAAACATTAGAAAGCAAAGTCCCAAGCAAGAATAAATCAAAACTCTAAGATAAATCAAAGGATTAACCCTTGAGCTCACAAAGCTAAGAGAAATCAATGAAGAAATCCCAAGCAATGTCATTAGGGCGTATACGCAATAAATTAAAAGCCATTGCCGCTAGTGCGTATACGCAATATATTAAATGGTTTATGCTCATAACGCTTACTTTCTACCTGAAAGGGATTTTTCCAAACATAATTCTTAAATGTTCCATTAAATCAACAGAAAAAAAATTCATTTGCCTGGTTTTTAAGTTTTCATAAAATACAGTTAATTTTTCCTACTTTAAACTCTTAAAAAAAACGTTTAAACATTTCCTTTCTTTCAAAAAGACTTTATAAAATTTGATATATTTATATAAACTCCCTTTGGTAGCAAGTGAGCGTTATGAGAATTATTGTAGGCAAATCACGTAACCGTAGATGAATTCATGTTTACCCCCTACATACAATTCCAAATTAACAATCACGTTTGATAAATGTTGGAAATGATTGCAATCAAAAAACATTTTATATATTTATATATAGTAACTGACTGAGGATCAGCAAAACGGGTTGTGAACCAACCGCACTACGACGTATGCCGCTTAACTAACGATCAACCAAATAGAGAGCAGATATACCAAATATGTATAACCCAAAAAGCGAGTTCTATAAAAGATATTTACAAGGCTAATTAATCGGTGTTCCAAATATACTCGATATATTTTAAAAATTAAAAGTTGAACGCAGAAAGGCGAGAAGAAAAGTGAAAAAAGCTGAAGAGAAAGGAGAGGAAGAAGAAGAAGAAGAGTAAGCATAGGAGAAGTCATTAACCCCACCAGAAATCGAGGAACCGCAAAAGTTATTAAACAACACTGTACTACATAGTAGACGGTATACACAACCTAGCACCTAAGGATATATACTCACATGCATATGTAGAAGTTCAATCCAGATGGCAAAAGACCTCCTTTTGAGAACCCTTAAGAACCCTTAAGAACCCCTTAAAAATCCCCCTCCCATGGATCGTTTTAACCCCTTGTTGAGATGCTTGATTTGTAGCATAGCATTAATACTGAATTTGTTAACTTTAATTCGAGATAAGAGACATCTTGTTAGGAACCTTGTTTTGCCCGAATAGGTTTTTATGTGATACGTTTGTGCTTGTTCCAGGTCCAGTTCTAGTTCCCTTAATCCCTGCAAACCCCATTTCAGTATTATTAAAGCTCAACAAAATAATGTAGAAGGACAAATCAAGAGATTGCGAAAATATTCCAATGAAAACACTTACTGTAAGACGCACAAATCTATTTTAGGAGGTATAAATATGTATGTCTGTGTTTTTTTTTTCTCTACCATAATGGTATAAGATATCTAGGATATAGACTCCACTTACACATACAATGCGATATATATTTTTCAATGCCAAAGAGTTCTTTACGTAGCCTATGTTGTAATTGCTTTCTTGTTGATTTCGAGTTTTTTGAATCTACTGACTCATCCATTGTAAATTCAAAGTTATATGAATGCCAAAATCGAAATCAAAACCAAAAACACGAACAAAAAAATCTTAAGGAACAACAAAATATATATATAAATATATATATATTAAATTAGTTATTTCAATTTTATACTCTTACTAAATTTTTAACTAGAATTAACTGTAACTTTATATGCATTTTCTTACATGTATTTATTGTACACCGACTCGGAACACTGCTCGAAAAATCGCATATTCAGCGAAAAATCAAAATTGAAAATTGTATTGTATTTACAGCCGATTGTATTAGAATTTATTGAAACTAAGTAGGTACGACGAGAAATCGAACTCATTAGAGGAACTCCTATTCCACGTAGAATCGAAACGAAAAACGAAACCAGCAAAAGAACATTTTATGCGATTTATAAATAGAAAAGCCAAAGAAAACCGATAAAAACCGAAAAAAAACCAACCGAAATATTCAAGTTATACCCGAAAACCATTATTTGTTCATATTACTCAAAAAGGAAAATCAAAATAAATGTAGTAATCGTAATTGTGGGACTCACTTTGTAATTCGAACTGACATGAGAATTGTTGATAACTGTGCGACTGTTCCTATTCGTTTCTATAATTGTTTCTCAATGGATCAGAAATACATGTTTCTATTCGATCCATTGTCTGTTCTTCATCTAGTTCTTTATAAAATTCCATTCACTCTGACACGTTAAATTCTTAACAAATTTCTTTGGGTGGTTTCGTTTACTTTGAACACCCAAAATTACTTCGTAAATTGTATCATTTGATTTTCAATATCAATAAATGTAACCAATTAAATTGTTCAAGTATTCCTTAGGAATATTTGGTTTATTCGAATAGTAATCTATTCATAGATTAAGAAATTGCACTTTCCATAAATTTTTCGCGATCTTTCTCTGTTCTTCAACCATTTTCAAGGATATACGGAATGTATGTATATGTATGCCCCCATAATATCTTTAAAAAACAGATAAATAATCTTTGATCCCCATTCATGAAAAACTTTTCAGCATTTAATAAACACCATTCGCTTTCAAACTTCTTCCCATAATACTCAACCAATACAACTTGACTAAGCCTAGGAAAAGCAATTTGTATTAAGTGTTACAAGTATTTATATGTATTTACAATAATGGCTATGAAGATAAAGTTAAAAATCCAAGATAAAACTAGTCGTGAATGTTCTGTGTTCCCCAAAAATACATCACCCCCGTACACCCGAAAAAAACTATATTGACTATAAAAGAGCAGTAAATATGCAATAAATATGAATAATAAATTGAAACGTAATTCGATTACTATGAAAAATGGCGTTGTTTTTGTATGTGGGTCATGAGGAGTTAAATACTGTTCTACATAGCGTTAAGTAGTGCGCTTTTCGGAGCCTTAGGGTGGGGCTTTCGAGTGTTAAGGGTGTTGGGATTTGGGGTTGGGAATGGGTGGGTTAAGGGGCAATTTTTGGGTGGCTCTGGGTGAAAAAGTGCTCGAGGCTGGAAAATAGGCGCATACTGAGCTGAGGCTGTTGCCGTTATACTCGCAAATGTATCTTGAACCGCGGGCATGTATCTATGAGTGGGTGCGCCACTCCCCCTTTTTTCTTATTTTTCCCCAAAGCCTTACCTCCCCCCCGACTTAGAGCGAGATGGCCACAGTTTTTCCCCAATCTCTCTCGAGCTCCCTCTCTCTTTCAGATCCTCTGTGGATTGTGTTTCCCCTGTTTTCCACTGCAATCTGTGGATGCCATGTACCATATATCCTTGGGTATATACACGTACCAACTGGTTACCCGGGATTTGAACCACGCCCTGGCCAACCGTGCTGGCCAAAAACTAGGTTAGCGCTCAAATATATGATTACACACAGAAAGAGGGAGATTTTTGATACATAAAGGAGTAGAGCCGAAAAACACATTGCCCACCATATAGAGCTTGACTCTGAGGGATATTTTTAGAACATTTTTAAAATATTTTTTTAATCATACTTAAAGTTCTATCTGTGAAAAAACTTAGAAATAAACTTATTTTTTTTTTAGTTTTTCAGACCGGACATAGACCTAATTCAATTAACTTTTCACCCAAGTGGGGGAGTTTTGTTTATTCTATTTTTTGTGGGGTGTGTGCATGTTTCTATCTTTTTTTAAGGGAACGGTTGCAATAAGACACAAATGCGAGCGGTTTACATATATAAATGCACCCTGTTTGGCGGCAAGCTGAGACCCAAAGGTGAATGTCCTTTGCCAGGACTCAACGCATGCGCTGCTCTCGGCCAAAGAAGCACTCGCCCACCCACTGCCGCCCCCTATTCGCACTTTGCCACCCAAAAACAAATAGAAAAAACCTAGAGCAACCCGATCCCAGAAACTTTTCTACATCTTTGGTAGCACGACTGTTGGGTCTACTTCGTGCCGTGTCACACCTTTTTGGCCCATTAGCGTCTTTTGCTGCACATATGTATGTATGTGTTTCCCCAGGGAAGTCCCCTTTTCAGGGAGTCAGTTCCGTTGGCGATAATCAGATTACGCTACCGGACATCAAAGGACCCCCGGGAAAGTCTATTCCTCAAGGGTCAGGGGATGGACTGTCCCTGTTCAGTAAATATAATGAATGTTTTTCAGAATTCTCTAATTGCTTCAAGACACATGAGCAGAAGAAGGAAATATTTACTTGGCTGATAGTTAATGTGAATCCACTATGATTAATGCAATTCTCGCAGTTGGTTTTTTAAATCTTTGGTATATTCAAACATTTGAGCTTTTACTTAATTAAGTTAAAGTTTTTCATCCTTAAAAATAAAATAAAGTTAAACTGGTAATTTAAAGGCATTGAATATTGAAAAGACTGGGAATTGGGAATTTTTAAAATGTTTTTAGTATCCAGATTAGTGGCATCACGTTTGATTATTAAATATGTGCGATGATTTATCGCCATTGGCTTAATTATTCAATCTGTCGCATAGGCATTTCCATTTATTCACGTGCTTTAGCCACATATTTGGGCTATTATCATTTCTTGCTGTGCCGTGGATTCGCAACTCTTACTGTACAGCAAATGGAGTAAAAGGAAAACAAAAAGTACACTAGAAAACATACTCTTAAATTTCAATAATTTAAACTTTTTACATTTATCCTAAAATACCTAGATATGTATAATATTTTATAGATATGTATATAAAGCTAATACATGAGACCGCACCAATTGTAGGGACATTGATCGAGTTCATTAATTTCAAATCAAAAAAGTAGGAGAACAAATGGATTTTAATTTACAGTGTAAAAATAGCCATGATATAATATAATAAATTGTATACTGCCTTTTAATAAGTTGAACAGCGCAAAAAACATAATTTGCTGGGGAAAAACTTAAGGAGCGCTTTCCCTTGAAAATAAATTGATTTTAATGTGCTTTTTTCGACAATTAAAAAAACGATTAAACTAAATTTCCAAAGAAATATAAAAAATTGTGTATTAAATAATATATCAAATAATTCAAAAATATTTATTTTGTACGCAAAACATATACACATTTTGTTCAGTGCACTTCAAAGAAAACAAAAGGCGGTGTGCGCAACAAAAACAACAACAAAAAGGTGGTAGAACGAGAATGCAAAGTCAGAAGCAACAACAAACGGTATAAGAACCGAAGCAACAGACGCGCATATCGGCGAATATCGTAAAAAGCCACGGTATTCGTTTGCCTTTGCGTTTCGGTGTTGTTAGTTGCGTTGGAAGTTGGAAATTTCAGTCAGAAGCGAACTTTTGCGAGTGATGGAAGACACTTTCAGTTCGGACCGGTGCCGAAAAATAATAAATAAATAACTAAAAGAACAACAGACTAACGAGAAATAATATAGCAATACTTGAAAGCGGGATTCTCTATAAATCAAACGCTTTTCAGTACGTTTTTATTTATTTAGTTAGTATCTATTTCAATGCTATTAACAGTAATTGTTGAATCAGTAATTGCTATTATTCTTGTTATTGTTATTGTTGCTCTTTGCAATTTCTTGCTTTAAAATCTATACATATATATATTGTTTGTTTTGTTTTTGTAAATGTGCAGTGAGACCAGTGCTAAAAAATAGAAAACAGAAAAACTAACAAATAAAACAGGAAATTAAATGTTTGAATGTGCGTCGTCCATTTTGTCTGCTTTTCGTGTGCCTGTGTGTGTGTATGAGTTAGCCCGTTTCCGGTCCAATCAACCAACCAACAAACTTTTATTTTTTTGCCAAAAAAACAGGACAGTAGCCTTAAAACTGCTAGATCAAAACGAAACGGAGTAAAATAAAAACGCGCGCGCAATAGACGGCACGCCCCCCCGCCCTCATCGGCGTCTTCCTTCTTTCGAGCGGAAGCAAAACAAAGAAACCAGGACATCACAAAAAGGAAGAGAGAAGAATAAAGCAAGTGGAAGCGGCCCGAAAAGGAAAAGCATATGAGCTGAACGGCAGGATATAACCCCCAAAAAAGTAAGTCAAGTGATGGATCAAGATAACCCCTTCAAGACGACATCAGCCCAAAACAAATACAGTGAACATTTCCTAAGAAGAACGTCTTAGCTTCTTGCTAAGTTTTCCTAAACCAAACTTACTTGTCCATACTAACTAAAATAATTCTAAAGTTCATTTCACAATTCAAAATCAATAAGTGGCTTTTTAATGCTTAAGTTTTAAATAAAAATTAATAATGATTAATATATCAATTTAGTTAACGGACCGTAAGTTAGCATTTACTTCAAGATTGTTTCCTTAATTCTTCAGCAAAAGCAATATTATTGTTAAGCTAAGATATCAGAGCTTGTTTTCAGAAGCTATTAGTCAAGGTTGATCGATTGCCAATGTATTTTTTATTATGTGACATTATGTCAACTAAAGTACAGTCAAATGTTAATTTATCTTCTGTTAAACTTTTGTAATCATTATTAAGACACTAAATATTTTCTTCGAGATAAATTAAATATACATTTTATTACTATTGTAATTTTGAAAGAAATATAAGATTTTTAGAGCTTGTATATTTTAAAAACCAACTGTTCTTAGATCACAAAAGTCCAAGTCACTTCTTGTAACAAATAAAATTCACTCCTATTTTTTTTACCGAAAAACTTATATTTAAATATATATACAATATTTTTTTCTTAGACTTAATTATCTGGTTTCAATTACACAGGTTTTGACTGTACCACTAAGCTCCTTGATCTCCCTCACCACACTCAAAAGCAATCAAACTGCTGTCCTCCTCGGGTTACACACACATTTCTTGGTCTTCCGTTAGAAAGACATTGGAATCACTTCGGTGTTGCTGGGTATTTTCTTTTTCGGTTTTCGCTACCTTCGTCCAACTAAAACCATAGAAGTGCTGGGCCAAATGGAAAATCTTAATTGCACAAGAGGCGCGACCAGAGAAAAAACCGCACAAACAAAAAGCGAGCTTTTATAGGGCGGATCTGCCAGTAACAGTATCATTACCTAGAATTTGGTCACTTTTACGGCCGCGCAATAATCTCCACCGATCGCAATGTCTTTGGTTTCATACCAGAGATTTAACTGCGAAAGGTATTCTCTGATTCTAATTCGAACCAAACAAAAAAAATATTTGTTTAATACCACAAAGAACAAATTGTATCAGAAAGAAAATACTTGTACTAATTAAAATTTCATAATTTATTTGATGAATATAATATATTCAAAACATTGGTTAAACTATAGTATGTATTAATAGTATTATTTTCTATATTTTTATAATTCTTTAACAATTCTTTTACTTAATTTCTACCGCTCTAGAATAGCTGTTGTGATTTGAGTCATTTGCACTCATGAATCTTTAATTTTACAAAATCGAATTGATCGCATGATTCACTGACCCCAAATGAAAGTGCATGTTGTTAATAAGTGAATCAATCACAATTTATTTCCGTTTCAGGGCGATCCTTTGTCATCGATTTTCATAGATTGTTATGAAACTAACTATAAAACGATCTAAAATAAAGATCTTACTGATTGTTTGTGATCGATTCACAACGATTCTTATCGACGAAATCGACGCCTATGTTTTGGCGGCATGGATATTCGAAAGGCAGAATAACATTTGCGAGGGTTGAAACCGCAACACGCGATTTCTAACGGTGGTTAGTTGGCCAGTTGGTGGGTGGGTTGTTCTGCGAGTGGGTGGTGCTTCCTTGACGATGGTGATGGTGACGAGGTGTCGGGGGTGGGTGGTTTTGGTTTCGGATTCGGTTTTACTGTTGGTTTCGGTGGCTACTGGACAGCTTGAAGTATGGAAGCCAGGAACAAAACAAAAAAGAATCGAAATGCATATTACGCAAACGGTCGAGTATCGTGTGCCGGCATACATATATTAACTAATGAGCCGACGACCTCGGGGGATGTATGTACAACGGAGCGTCCACCCACCCAACCGAAAACCAACCCACTGTGGATCCACGGCACTCAAAACTAAAGTGTAAGCTTTGCATCTGGAAATCTGCATATTAATGCGTCACGTTTAGACAATCAGCGGACCACTTTAGTTTTGTGAAATCTCGAGTTTATATAGTTTAATATTCGGTACGGTATTTTAAAAACATTTTTTTTCATGATTTTGAAAACATTGTACTAAAAACACAGATGTACCCGAAAAATATTTGTATTATTTCTGGCATTGTCTATCAATTATTTCGCTGAGTGCGCCGACTGACGACTGGCGACTGCAGACGACGGGGTTTGTTTATAAGGTCACCCTATTTTCACGGATTGCATCCATCTGCTGTCAGTTCTCATGCTCATTTCCATAGCCATTTTCATGCCCATTTTCATTCGTCTGCCCTCTGCCCCTTTTCCATTTCCCAGTTCCAGTTCCATTTCCATTTCGATTCCAATTCGTTATTTTCTTTCTTCTCGGTATACAATTGCATATCCGGTTCTCCATGTGGGCGCCGTCTCTGGAACATCCGTAGATCTGCATAGATCAACTTTTCCTCTCCGATTTTCACTTTTCATCGTTTCTTTTTGTGGTTTGGTTTGGTTTGGTTTCGTTTGCTTTTCCCTTGGCGCCGATCCACTGAGCTTCTGTGCGGGTGGGTTGGGCTGCAAATGGGTGGTGCTGAGTGGGGCAGGGTGGTGCGGTTGTGTACTGCAGTCGGCTGTCATTTGTGTGCAATCTGTCATCGGACACTGTCATAAACTAGCAAGCAACAATGATCTCCCAATCCAATTCAAGTGGCACAGTTTGTTTACAATGGAAACCAGAATGCCAGACGGTTGGGCTCACACTCACTCATATTTCCCGTTCGATGGCTGCAAGACCTCTTAGATCTTAAAAAGGGAAAACCTTGTTAGCCGCTTGATTGGCAGGAAGGGAAAACGAAAGAAGACGCAGAAAATTGGTTTGGAATTTCCTGGTATTCGCTGCCGAGATTGCTGAAATAAGGTAAAACTTAAGATCATAAAAATGTGATAAAAAGTTTACACATCTTGATGAGAAACGTGGGTCAATACCAATTGTTAGACAATATTTAATTAAAAGAGGTCTGTCTTATTTGTAAAAACAATTTTCCTTTTATACTTTTAATTTCGAGAAGATAATTGGGGTCAAGTTAGCGATTCGATCCGATTTTTGCCAATAATGTTGCACCCGGCCAAAATAAGAGAGCTCGCAATTAACAACATTGGGCTAGTTTTTGCGCCGGTTTCGCGGTTTCTCACTTGTGTGGGGAGGTGTTAGCCATCAAATGTTAATGGTATTAGCCAAGCTTTCAATTTGCGTGAATGTGTTGGTTGGCTGCTTGATGTTCGTTGCGAGCCGAACGAGAACATGTGACAATTCTGGCTTGCAAATGGCCATGGAAAAAGCATGGAAAAACTACCGAGCTGCATAAAAAACATAGACAAACTAAGGAAAGAAGCTCGGAAAAAAGACGGCGGCAACTTTGTTGGCTTTTACTGGTTTTTTTCGAGCCGGAAAAGGTAATGGTGTCTGCAAAGGGGCCTCGTTAACTCACTTAAATCTCCCGTAGGAGATTTTTTTTGTGGCAAATGGATGTTTGATGTGAAAGGTATAAAGCCACAAATACTTACAATTGTGTCATTTCTGTATGATATTCTTATTCTAGGGGTTTTAGTGGTTTTGATGAGAAAAGTTAAGATTTTGTAGAGATTTTTCTAATTGTCTACTTCCTGTTGTTGTTTTATTAATATTACTTTATCATACTTTCGACAAGTGGTTTTAATTGACTTCCTAATTCTTAATAGGTTTATGAGTCTAATAAATTTTCATTGAACATTTTTGAATGCCAAATTGCAAATCCAAACAAAAGCTTGAATGGACCGAAGCACATAAAGAATATTTTAGTTTTTATGATTTCTTGCCAAAATTCAAACAAAAATTTTCAATCGAGACCATCAAAATGTAATGCTACTGATCGGCGGCTGCCTGACTTGAAACTAAAAATAAATGCCTTTACCCTTGAAAGTCAGCGCAACAAGTGGAAATTCCAGAAGAAAAACAGAGGCTATTTTTATGGCCCTCAATCTCGAGCCATCCAATCCCCAAAGCCGATTAAATCCGCGATGCTGATGCTGACGGATGTATGCCAAACATATTGACAGACTCGGGTAGCTGCTTGAGCAAACCATGGTGTTTCTGCAAGCTAAAGAGTCCAGATTCAGAGGGACTATTTCATTTGGCCGCTAGCCAAAAGACTAAAAACGGCCACTTGGTTAATGAAGTTATTTATAAAAAACTAAGAAAATCTACAAAATAATATTAAGCTGAATACAAAATTCAATGAACAATCCACATCGTTCAGTATTGTTGATTCTTATGTTTATGACTGATAAATTGTCAATTAATATACAAAAGTTTTATACATGTGTAGCATTAATGTTCTTGCTATGAATAAATGTATTTGCATTTTTCAAGCCACTTAAAAATGTAAAATTTGCCATCACTAAATATCAGAAAAAAGGAATATGATTAAGGGGCAAATGCACGCTGCAGAATATTATTCCAAAATGTTTATTTTTCTTTTCGCTGTCGGTCTCGCTTTTCGTGCGTGTGGAAAATCAGAATCTGAGGTCGTGTGGCGATATAAACTTTCGATTTACACCCAGTTGAGACCACTAACTCGGTGAAACCCCCTGCGTTGAACTCTATAATATAAATAGGGCAATGCGCATCTTAACAAACACGAACGAATGCAAAATTTTCGATATGAACGCATAAAATCGTACAATATGTTGGCATATTTTTTGTTTAATAGCTTTACAAATGAGAACAGTTTTCGGAGTCTATGCAAACAAAACATTTCTTACAAGTAGGATCGCGTTTCTTGCATTAATTTGCTCATCAAGTTATACAAATAAGATATTGCCGATAAATTTGCAATTTCTAGCATTGCTCATTCAAAAAGTGGAGCCAATTTGAATGTTAAATGTCATACCATTTTACCTTTAAAAAAACTCAAATATCCATACTTTTTCTCGTTTCAGAACGACCAATCTGCGAAACCTAAAAGTCTTATAAATTCAACTGCTGCTGCAAACCTTATGACTGATTTATAACGTTGAGCAAACCATAGCGATTACCTCCCTAAGAACTTTATACTAGCTTACAAATAGAGATATATACTCGCGCATATACGGCCGCATATATTTGAATGGCAAGGCAATAAAACTCCGATTATATAGCATTGTATAGTAAAACGCTAGAAGAAGTGTTGCCTCAACCAGTTCCGTAGATAGTGTCTATAACAATTACTACATCCGATATCTGATAGATAGGGGAGGAGAGAGCAGAGGAGAATCGGAAGCCAGAGAGAAGTGAGGAATGCAGCGGTGTCCCTACATTCATGAGATGCGCGAAAGATTACTGGACCAGCCACGGGAGACACTTCAACTGGAGAACATGGAGCGGGCCAATCTGCTCGACAACCGCCAATCGGCATCTGAATCCAACCAGGTCGGCACTGTGGTCAAGGTAGGGGCCTTCGAAATACTCGCTACAAGGATTGCCCCGTCCCAACTCATATGCAATATCTAAAAACATAACATCACGTCCAAATCGAAACACACACAGATCACACATCTAACTCTCATAATAATCATTGTTCTGCTAAGCTTACAGATCTAAAATATCCTTATTCTTTCAAATATTCATCCCACTTTCTTAGAGATATTTTTAAGTGATTATAAATCACAAGAAATGCAGTATTTATTCCACTTCCAGCATTTTAAATAATTAAAAAAGAAGTTTTGCAATAATTAAATTATAAAAAAAAAATCATATTAAATCATATTTTTCAATTGACCATCATAAACACTTCAAAGACAAAGTCATATACCATTGTACCATTATACAAATATATTACTACTTCATACAAAAAACACATCAACTCTCACTCATTCAAATAAATATATATAAGATAGAAAACTATTAAATCAAAAACAGCTTGTAAATATTGCATATGAATATAAGCCTTAACCCCTCTTTATGCAGTGTTTGTGTGTCGGTGTGTGTGGCAGATTAATCATTTATTTTAAAAGTCTTTTCTTCTTAGCCAAAGAATTCGAAACGGATCCAAAGCTTTCACCAACAAAATCCTTGCACGAGTAACCGATTCGCCCTTAACTTTATGTTCCTCGAAATCGAAAGTCAAAACGAAAAGAGCCAAAATAATTATGAGTAATATAATTTGCAATAAATTGGAATTGTTTTAGTCTAAACAGAAATTGTTATTAACGCCTTATTTTCGAAATGCATGCTAATGAAAAACGTTCTTTTGTGAATCATATGAATGAATCATATATAAAACCAACCATGTTAACCAATTTTTAATCGGTATTTTTAAACTCTATCGGTTTTACTAACAAATTGACCTATGAGTTTTGGTTATTTGTTCAGAAATTCGTACGCCTCAAATCCTTTTGATAATTCTGTGACATCCTCTGTGTATATACCTTGTACATTTTGTATTATATGAAATTCCAATTTATTGTCGTAAAACGAGAGACCCATTTGGCACATAAGATAACTAACCCCAGAATGTGTTTTTGCTCCACCGACAGCTGCAGGGCGATGGCTACCACACAAGTCCTGCCCACCAGCGCACCCCACTAGTGCCTCACGATCTCGGCGAGGACTTCAATTTGGATTTCGACGACGACTTCCCGATCGACGCAAGACGACCGAAAAATGCCAAGTAAGTGTGTTCCATGGATCCATTATACTGTCCCCTGAACCGCAAAAATACCACCGAATACCATTTACCATACCGATTATAAGCCAGCACCAAAATCTATGTGTCGCCACTGAATGTGTTTTTTTGTGTTTCGTGTCTCACATTCCATTTCCTGCGTTACTAAGCTTCCGTTTCTAATTCCAACGATCCCGAGCAGCTTTAAAAATCCAAGAAATCTAAATCTGAAATGTGCTAGCCATAAATCTTGTGATGATCTTAATTTTTCCATCCTCTCCATCCTTTATTGATATGTGAGAACTCTTGATTAGATCCTCAGTAGAACCGTAAAACCCTTTAAATTGCAAATCGTGTTCAATTTAATCAGTTAGAAACCGTTACAGCGGCAAACATCCAGCGGTTCTGACGCGTCCACAGCAAAGGTCAGATTTGCTATTATTCACCTTTCAAACCTCTATCTTATCTGTACTCTTTAAATACATATATATCGACAAAGTAGAACCCTCAATAACCGTATGATCTTATCCTTTTCCTACTAACCTAGGAATGATATTAGTTAGTTCTCACTGACCTATTAGTCGATCTTTCCTATCACCTGCATATGCGATGGCTTCTAATAGCAGTAGTTCCAAGACAACAACACCATTAACTAGATCTTGAAGATACTAACCTGAAAATTTCTGTGGGGACCAATACGCACGTTGAGAACTGGGAATAGATCGGTGGTTATGCCGACTGTATAAACATTATTATTATTATTATTATTATCTTATTAAAAGCAGTGAATGAAATTCAATCTTGGCATTTGGTTCTTCTAAGATTAAGTGATATATGAGCTAGCTAACTTCTTAGGTTTGTAGGAAGCATACAAATTGTTCGCTGAGTGCCCACACAAATTCAAAATTAAGTAGTATATCCGCTTAGGGAGTCACAAACACACAGGAGCCAAAAAAAAACTATATCTGCCCGAATTTCATTCAGCTTTCTCATTGTATCTTTATGGGTATTGTGTTGTATGTACTATTTGTACTATTTGTACTACATATCTATTTTTTTTGGCATCCAGTGGATTATAATGTCAATGAACTGGACGTCAGGCACGTTGCCTTACATTTCCGATGGTGTGGCATCGTTTTTTGTTCGAGTATGGTTTTTCTCGTGCTCCTCTTCGTTCGGGACATAAAACAAATAAGTAGGCAGCGCGAGTCATCCAAAATCGCTTACACAATGCTGCCAGTGGGTGGTGCTGGGTGGTTTGAAGTGAAGTTGCAAACAAATTACGCAACTAGACAAACCGACAAAGCATTCCACTCGGCTGGCTGCGGCATGAACTGTCAGCGATGCATGCCAACCAGATCTGTTGCCGTCTTGCATATAGTTTACACACAGATAAAAAAAACAGCTCAATATCAATTAGTAATTCGCAAAAAAAATATCTTTAATTGATTGAACTAAGTGCCTTCTTCTCTGGTCAAAAGGTTTGAGTTCGATCTTGGGTACTATCGTTACAATCATATTATTTTGATACTTTATCAGAATAATGATGTCTACTTTGATATTTACATTCTCTAATTAAAGTCTAAAATGGATTTCTTTTCCGGTTAGAACATTTTATTAGATTAATTATGCCTACTTTGATATTTTAATTTTTTTTTATTTTCTTTGCCTTTGAGTTCCTATGGCATCTCCATCTCTATGCCCATTCCCTGAAAAAACCCGTAGAACTATGGCTTTGTCTCCGCACCCAAAGTGTCATTGTACGAATGACTTACATTCGTGAGTTTCTGCAATTTGCTAACAATACGATGGTACAATGGGCGCAAAGGAGAACGGCGTTGAGTTGGGGAGACGGCGAAACTATCGATGCTTGGCATTTGGCCAGAGTTGTCAGCCTCACTTGAGAACACGGTCTTCGACTTGTTCAAGCCTCACAGAGGAAAAAACTAACAAGTTTTAATTGAACTAAACATATTTAATCGTTCTGCTGTTAAAAGTCATACTTTATATGATCCAAACTGATATACTCAATTTTGTTTTAAGAGAATGTTTAAAATCTAAAAATTTGTTGTGTGCTTGTCGAATCCCGAAATTTCTTTCATTTTTTTTTATTGATTCGTCCCCTCTCAATCCATTCTAAAAAAAAATGCCCAGCATCTATTTGTAGCATTGTCCCTGGCAGAAACATTATCACCTGATTAGACACAAGGTTTTTTGTGGTAGGCCAAAGGATCTCTGTTCTCTGTTCACCCCCGATACTTTGTTTTAAAAATAATACCTTAAGCTCTTGATAAAGACCTCATCTGCTGTGAGGGGTGGATGAAAGTATAATTAGGCAAGCGGTCAACCCTTCTTCGATTTCTGAGGGCTGCTGATGAAAGGCCACGATAATTAAAAACTCCCTCAAGGGAGGGCCTTCGACATTTATCTCAATTAGAAAGGACAACAAGTCAGAGATTTATCCGTGTTTTTAGGAACTCAATTAGTTTTTAAGTAAACTATAGATTTAATTTTCAGGATTTCTTGAACATTCATAAGTAAGAAATTATTTTGTTGAACTGCGCATTAGTATCATTTGATTAAACATTCGACAGGATTTCAAGGGGTTTATTTCGCATTTTTCAACTCCGGGAATTAGTGAGTAGCATCTGGGTCACACGTCTTCATCTGACTGGGATCAGGGTGCGGCTGGCAGTGATGCGATAACCCCTGCCCGTATTTTCCCAAAGTCCTTTTACGTTCCGCCTTTAACCCTCTGCAACCGTCTGTCCGCGGCTTTTTCAGCTTTTCCTGCTTTATATGCTACTCAATGCAACTACGACGCAGTTGTTTTACACTGGAAACAACACTGTTATTTAAAAATAAATCTTCGAAAAAATGGTGCAAGTTAAAAAATTCTTTAGGTTTTCTACGAGTAGTAAATACTATTGAGCTGTTTTTGGGTTTTGCCATGCTGTTTGTTAAGTTTTCCCAAACATGACACATAATTAAATAGTGATAGTTATATTCTTTCACTGTACCCTAACATTTTTTAATACCGCCACTCTTCTGGATGACTGCAACCCCTTGTCGCACTCTGCACTCCACGTTCAATGGCTGAGGAACTGGGAGTTGGGAATTCTAAGGGATGGGGCGACTCTGTCGGCGAATGGGCAACCAAAACAGAATGCCGCAATGTTTTTGCGAACGGGCGGCACAAAAGGAAGCCAGCGCTGGAGTTACGATAAACCGTAAAACGGTAAAACGGCACGACGAACGAGGACGAAGCAGGACGACGGACCAGACAGCATGACGACGTGCTCGGTTTTTACCGTAAGTCATGCCGCACAATGGGCACTCGAGTGGGATTAGGAAAGAAAAAGTATGTACGTGGAGTTGGAAGTTGTGTCTCAAAAAGGCTCTAGTGACATAAAGCTAAGAAATAGGAATCTGTAGGTATTTAGGTATTTAGAAGACATAAGAGGGATTAGTGGAAAAAAGGATTGGAAGTTGGAAAGTTTAATGATCTCAAAATTCTTTACTGGTATTTCGTATAAGTAAAATACTAATTTAAGAGTACCGCCAATAAGAACAAATTCTAATTAAATAATTTAATTATTTAATATTTAATTTAAATTCTTTAAATATGCAATAATTTGATTTAAAATCATTTGTGTATATAAATAGTCAGCAGATATCAGCTCTGTTTAATCCAAGCCAACCACTGTGCCAAAAATGTTGTCGGGGTTGTTGTGTCTGTGGGTTGTTCAGTGGGTGGCTGTAATACGTAGCACCACAATGCCAACAACAAAAACATCAGATGATAGTAGTAAAATCAGTAGAGGCAGGCCAAGCATCGTGGGTAATTGAGTTTTGGACTGTTGCTTTTCGACGGTTGACGGTTGTGTTGGGTTCTGTTCTGTTCTGTTCAGTCCCTTAGTTTTCCATTTTCGATTCCGTCTGTCGACCTCCCACCCTTCCAGCCAAAACCACCCGCTTTTGGTTGTTGCACTCTGCATATTTCCGCTGATTGGCATTTGGCCCATTTACATCGAGTGTCCGGCTAAACCAAGGAATCTCTGCTTCCCGATGCAAAACTCAATTAAAAGATACGTTTTTGGACAGGACCGCATTTCGTCGACAAAAAAATTGTATTTTAATTCTTTAAAAAGAAAAACAATTAGTGTTCTATAACAATTAGAACATAATTATTGTAATATCATCAAGCCTATAAAAAAAAAACATGTAAAATGAAGACAATTACAATAAAAATCACAAGACATTCATATGTTTCAAAGAAAGAAGAATGTATTCAAAAACATATGTAAAAAAGTAATTGGGAAATCATTTAAAAAAACACAATAAAAAACAGAAAACAAATTAATACTATAAAGGAGTTGTAAGTTAATATTTCAATCAATTCGAAATGTTATTCAGTTGATGCAAATCGCATGAATGGAAGGAAAGCCTCTTAAGGGACAAAACCCACGACAATGCCCACAATATACCCGAGATCTTAAGAGCAACAAGAGCAAAAATCGCACTCTGAAAACGCGCAGTGAAATGTGTCCTACTTTTTGGCATACTCACGGGATATTTTTCCCCTGCATGCCGAGAGCATCCTGCGAGAATCCTGCGAGCAGGAGAGAAAAAGAGAGGAGGGACTTGAGGCGACAGAGACGAGGATATACGAAGAGAAAGAGCGAGGGCGCGAGAGATTCGGCGCAGATTGAGGGCGGCTGCTGGCCGTAAAGGATGCTGGACTTATCCTGCCAGGGCCCGTTTCAGTTGTAGTTGGATAGTAAAGGGTCTTGGACGTGTCAAGCGAAACGTTCGCCAGGTAGCCTCCAAAGTCCTCCAAAAATCTGGAGTCCTCCAATCAGTTGGAAGTGTTCAATGAAAAATCAAGATTCCCATCATTCTATTTTTTTAATGTTTTAACTTGTTAAGTGATTCTCTAAGTGCTCTATTCAGTGAAAAACAAATCTGTGAAGTTAAACTGTGAAATCTACAAAAGCCTTCCAGTTTTCAACTAACAAGCGATTTTGGCTCTAAAAAAAGACGATTTGCTGTGGTTTGATGACATTATGATGACAATTGTATTTGCTAAAGTTTTTCCGCTAACTACAGTTAATACTTTTGGCCAGGCCTCCAAAAAAGGACTTTTAATGGCACCGGGCAATACACACACACATTGTGTTTTTTAAGCAGCTTATTATACATACAGCAGAGTGAGAGTAAGGGAGATAGAGAGGCACATAGGGACAGAGACAGCAAGAAAATCTCTCTAAGAACCTGAGGACTGAGCAATGTACAGAGATAGTATATTTCACATAGGTCCTCCGAGTCCAATGCATACACACCAATACACCCGGAGTCTGTGGGATCCAAAATTATACAGTTCTACAGGAGATGGGCTCAATTTTCCCCGCCGGAATGCGAAATGCCAGATACGACTTATTCGACTTTCAACCCCCCAAATCCGACGGAGAGAGAGAGGTCACTAGGTCGCTCCCATCCGGGATGCAGTCCGTTTCAAAAATCATAGCCACGCCTCATTTGCCCATTTGTCAAATGCATTTCAAATGCGTTCCACAAGGCCCCTAAAAATAGAGAGAGATATAGGGAGAGAGAAAAAGAGAGATAGTCAGAAATATGTATATAGGGAGGTGCTCTTCAAGTCAAACAATAGTTATTCTGTTGCATTCAAAAATGGAAAATAAACCCAGCAAATTGATTTATTTAGAGGTGCCAAATCACATAATTACGAACTGTGAATTGAAATAAAGGGAAAGCAGAGGAAAAGAGAAATCCACCGCGAAGGACCAAAAACCCAAAAAACGCCTATCGCCTATCGATAGACAAAATCGAAAGGAAGATCGTCGAAAAAAAAGCCAGCACAACGGAGACCGAAACGGAAACGGAGACAATGGGCGGCGGTGAAGTGAAGGTCGCTACCGTCGACGTCGAGGGCGGGGACAACATGGCCACGCTTCCGGTGTCCCGCTCGCATACCGCCGGCAGCACAGACAGCGCCGAGAAGAACAACGCCGCCAACAAGGAGATGGAGCTCAAGAACGTCATGCCGCAACCGCTGCAGAGGTGCGAATGTTTCAAATGTGGGGCGAATTCAAATTCAAGATGGGGCTATCAATACCAAAGAACAAGCTTTTCTCCATACACCTGATATTAAGTGATAATCCAGATTTTTAAAAACCGCCTCAAAATGTTTGCCTAAAAACTCCAGTTTCGAAAATATACCTTTGATCTACTGAAAATCTAGAAAATTAATGTTAAGGCACGCTGGCTTGCCGACATGAGCTAATTGTATTTTTGGGAAATAGTTTTGCCAGACACTTTAAATAACGTTTTTACTCTGCAAATCCTGTGAAAAACATAGGTTTACAAGCTTTACAACTAAACTGAAAAAATGGGTTTTTGGGTTTTCCAAAAAAAAATCACGTTTTACATGCTAGTTTTTCAGTACGCAAAAGTGATTTGGGTATTAGCATTAAGGCCGCTCTCCATTTAGTATTAAACTAATCCCTGTGTATAACAGCTTCACCCAAAACACTTGAGCACACACACAAAGATACAAACGCACACAACCGCGCACTTTGTACATAAGCAAGTAATGCCAAGCCGTACCTACCGTACGAGTATATAGTATGTAGTATATAGTAAAGTACATATAACCAAAAGTGCAATCCCAGCCTTAAAGCGTCGTCTCACTCTCTCATCGAGGTTCTCTAAAAAAGATTCTTTTTTGTTGCGTGCGCTTGCCCCCAACCGCCCACCACCCACAGCCCTAGGCCATCCAATAAGAAACCCCCCATTAAGTCTAACATATAGTATTATGAATTGGATACCAACAACTTAATTCACATCGAATCTTATAGGGTTTGCTACACGTTCAAGCCAAATCCAAATAAGTACAGTTTTATGCCAGCGAAAATAACGGTACAGGGCACATATGAAACAAATCCGATAACGGGACCCATCGAACTATGGTAATGTGACATGTGAAATAAAAAACCATGACCTACCCCAAGTCCAAAATTACTCCAGACCTCGAAATTCCGCCCGTTTCCATTTCCTTACACGTTCAGTGTGAACACACTGTTTTGGGTTTTTAAAAGCAGTATGTCCTTATATATTTAAAAGTTTATATTAGTATTTAGAAAACTAGTTTGGAATACTATTATCTTGTTAAACTGTTTAAAAACTGCCTATAAACTCTATTATAATTCCAAAACAGCCTCCTGTATTGGTAAATCCTATACAAAACAAATTCGTCTACAGACTTATTTAAATATGCATACCTTTCCGCAATGAATGCAGTCCAAAACAGCTTTGATTTCATGCATAATTAAAGGAATTCTGTGCAGATACTCGCATTATACAATGCAAACATCGGGTTTGATTCAGCTCAGGGCCCACACACATGCCATGGATGCTTAAGTGGGGTGGGAAAAGGGGGTTGTGTATTTAAAGCAGCAACTAACTGGGTCACAAAATACTGTGGGAGGCACAGTGGGATGGAGGCTTACTTTCTGGAACTCATTAACATTCCCAGACAGATACAAATTAATTTAAAATATATATATTATAATTTTAAATGAGAGATGGCAAATCATTCGAGATTTTTGGTCTATAATATCCCTAGACCAGCATTAAAATATTAGGCAGAGCCCACTGTGCAGATCTGTGGCTAATCAAACATCAAATAGGGTATATTGCAGGGCGGTTATGTACTTGAGCTGTCAAGTGAAAATGCACTTGAGATTTGGCTGCATGTCACAGACATTTTCTCACACCCAGACACACACAGAAAACAAAACCAGAACTCACACCAACATTGGAAAAGTGGGAAATTAGCACTCACTGGGTCAACTAGGGGGAGTTATAGCACCGATTTCTGGCCAGATCTTGACCCAGTTCCTGCACACAACATGATAATATAGTGTATACAAACACACACACACACACACACACACACCTTCCGTATTTACGCGCACCCAATGTTTACTCTTCTGTACATTACCAACATTAAAATAGAAGTTGAGCACCCAGAGAACTAACCTTTGGGCATTCCCACTTTCGCAGGACATCGCTGTTTATTGTGACCAGTCTGGTGTACGCGATCCTCCTGATTGTCGTCTGCATCGCCTACGTAATCAGCGATGTAACCACCCACCGACTGCCGGTTTTGTACTACGAGACATTCTTCACATATCTCTACGGCGTCAGCATACTCTTCCTTCTCTACGTCTTTTGTTTCCTGCTGCAGGGTAAGTTTTTCATCTGGTTAAGATATATTTAACTGCTGATTTAAATATCACTTATAAATTTTGACTTATTAACTAACAAAACGACATTACATCAACCCAAAACTTAAATTAGCGAATGTCTTAATAAAAAAAAACAATAAAAGCAAAAAAAAATAAAAAAAATGTTCAATATAAATTACAAAAATCAATTTATAATTTACCAAAAAGTACAAGAGATTATATTATAAAGGATTTTCGATGTATAAACTTTGAATTGAAATATTGTTTTTATATGTAGAAGAAACCCAAAAAAATTTTAAATACAAGGAAGTCATATCAAAAATGACCAATTTCAATATATATCATTATATATTTCCACAGAGAGCTCTTGCTGCAATGGCGGCAACGGTGGCAGCAAACCGAAACCCCAGCCCAAGGAGAAGAAGTCGAAGAAAGCCAAGAATGCCGATCCGGCCGATTCGAAGGATGCGAAGGGCTCAAAGGACTCTGGCAAGGCGGCCAAGGGCGCCGCATATCAGGTGGGTGATCATTAAATGATCTTTGTAAAGGATCTAATGACATAAAGTTCATTTATTATGTTTAAAATGGTAAAAATCTATAGTTCCTAAATTGACTTAAACATTACCCTCGAAAACAATCTGTTTCAAATATATATTAAACTAATAAGGGATCGGTTTTCTATATTACAATAGCACACACTGGCCAAGTTTCTGGTTTGCTATGAGCCTTCCTTATTCAATTATTTATAAGATATTTGTTCGCTATGTAAAGTATCTTTTGCTTAAAAGCTCGCAGTATAAAAAATATGTTTAATTGTAGCAGTTCCTTTATCAAAAACATGGGTTCGGTACCAATTTGATCAATGGCCAATATTCTTTGTGGAACTCGAATTCTAGATAAATACCATTTAACCTCCACGTGACAACCTGCCATTCTCCATGACCTACCCGACAATTGAGTTATTCACCTTGTCAAGCTTTGTCAATTAGTTACCAAGTGCTGAGGTCGCATCAATTAGTTTCCTCCGAGGGTTGTGAGGTTCCCTCTATATGTATTATCTCTTGATCGCCCGATCTCTCCGTCCCTTCGTGTATATATATATAGGAAGCACCCGTGGATGCCGAGGTGGCCGTCACCCCAAAGAATGTGCGCAAGCGCAAGACAACCCATAGTGATCTGACGCACGGCAGCTTTTTCCTGCGAGTGGGAGCTATTGGTGAGTTGGAAATGGAACACTTACCAAAGTGACACTCAATCCTCCCGAACTGACACTATTTAATTGCTCTCTAAAACGCACACGCAGCTTTTGGACTGGGCGCCATGATCTATATTGGCCTGGAGTTTGGATCGTTCTTCGAAATTCCATTTGATTCGCCATGCCATCACATCCTGATCGGCGTAAACCCACTGCTCCAGATGATATTCACCTTCATGCAAATGTACTTTATATTCATGAATGCACGGGTAAGTCGACAGGCCAAAACTCAGTGTCTAACTCTAAACTAAAACTAAAACTAAAGAACACTGTAAGCGTATGACTACTACCAACTACTACTACTACAACTACTACTACTACTACTACTACCTACTGCTATTATCTACGGCTATTCTATACTCGTATGTTAAATGTAAAACCAGCATAAGTACACGAAACCAACCCAGCTCCTCCTCAAGAACCCCAGCGAGGTTAGTTTCCCTAGTTTCTGTAGAACTACTTAATGCTAATGTTAGGTCGCGGCATTTGAAGTCAGGTCGCGGTTCCCGTTTCGGTTTACTTACCTTCATCGATCCGATCCGATCCGAGTCGATCTCAATCCAAATCTCACCACGAATATATAATTGGCGGTCTAATTGGCAGTTTTGAGTTCAGTTTTTCACCCATCCGCATCTGTATCTGCATTTGCAACTGCATCCATCGCTGATCACATCATCTGCCATATATCACTCGCTTGCTTCGCTCAATCTCTCAAACGAACATTGGAAAAGCCACAGACAACAGACTATTTAAATAAATTAAAAGATGAGGTGGTTGATCTAATCTTACCTCCAAAATGAAAAAAAAAACAAATCATTATGGATAAAGATCAGATTGACCGACCCCTCCAAACATTGTCTTGATCCTTGATTTTTTCATTTTCTGTGAACTCACAGACCCACTGACACAGAGTTCAGATCCACAGCACCACACGCATTTTGACCATCGAAAGCACCCACCAAATCAGGCAGCCACAGCTCATTCATACATCCATTCATTCATCCAAACCATTCATCCATCAATCAATTAATCAATCAACCAATGCATATTCATTCTTTTAAAAAAAAACCGAAATTTTGCTACGTAGTTATTTAATGAACCATTTTTGTGTACATAATCCCACAACTCCGCCCCATTCGCGCGATCGCAGACTAGGCCGCCATTTCAGGTACGATATGCAACTCATTTTCTACTCTACTGTACTCTCTACCTCTAACTAAACTCTAAACTCTAACTCAACCTGTACCCGTACATCTGCCAACCAAATCCAATCAAAAATGCTAATTTTGCTCACCTAACTGCATACCTATATACCACCTGTACATGCCTATGTCTATGATATATTATATGTTACGATATGATAACCAATAGTCTATATACTTAAGGTTTCCATTTGGTGGGCGTTTGGTTTTTGTTTCGCTCCACTGTCACTGCAGAGAGGGTTTTTAAACTAAAGGTGGAAATATTGGTTGTTTTGGGGTAATATAAGGAGTGTTGTCACCAAGACCAATTTATAGTAAAATTCGTCAATAAAAAATCTATTAAGACAAAAAAAAATTTTTTTTTAAAAAGGCAGACCAGGGTATATATTTATTATCATTACTACAAAAGAAAAAAACAACTTACAGTGAAATTTAACAATAAAAAACATAAATACAATTAAAAAAAAAAAAAAAAAAACAACCAGTCAATGAAGAATCATAGATACTTCTTATAGTTTTCTGATCTTGTTGGATATAATAATTTGATGGATCCCTCTGCAGGGCCAGTGGCTTACAGTTGCCCCATTGGAGCTGAATTTTGCCCGTAATCTCTAATCTTTAAAAGTAATCAATGTACTCGACTTGAATCCCCGTGAAACTCGCCGCCGTACTCAAGCGCCTTGTCTCTGTCTTTCCGTCTATTCCGTATGGTTTTCCGGAACTCTTGACCGGATTTTGCATTGGACCTCCGGATTTGCCACCTTCAGCTGAACATCCACCGCTTCAAGGTGATCGCCCGCTTTGGCCTGATGCACGTGGTGGCCACCAACATATGCGTGTGGATCCGTACGTTGGTGAAGGAGTCGCTGCTGGAGATCACGATCTACCACCAGAAGAACGAGCCGGAGGCGGGGGCCTCCTCCATTGCGCACTCGATCCGGCAGCATGCACTGCGCCATGCGGGCACCGTGCTGAGGACCCACGCAGGACCCAATAGCGAGTTCGAGGTCCTCGACGGCGAGGACATCCTGCCCAAGGATGTGTACAAGAGCGACAACGTGCTGTCCAAGCTGGTTCGCAATACCGTCGACGGTATTTCGAAGAGCCTGGGCATGGGTGGTGGTGACCAGCAGGTGGTCGCCGGCCTAAGCACCACCAGCACCACAACCACCAGGGCGCCGTTCACCACGCCGAACTACCAATGGCACAGCACTACTATGGCCCGCAAGCTGAAGAAGTTTATCACCAGCGCCACCACCGCGGCCACCACGGCGGGCAGCAGCAGTAGCTCCACGAGTACCATCTCACCGACATCGTCGGCCGCTAGTAGCACCGCCACCACCATCATCACTCCGACCAGCACCGCCATCCCATCATCGAGCACCACCTTTAGTCCATTTAGCACCGCCACCACCGCCGCCCTGAATCTCGAGACCAGCGGCAGTGATTCGCCCTTCGGCGGCCTGCAGCGCATCCTCTCTAGCGCTGCGCCGCCGAGCCTGGCGCCAGTCGATGGGTTCGGTTCCGCCGCCACGCCACTTCCCGTTTCCGTTTCCGCCTCGCACGCCGGATCGTTTGTGGACTCGTTCCTGGCCAGCACCCTGAGCCCGGCCAGCAGCACCGAGGGCTCGGCCAGCATAATGAACAACCTCTTCGGCCAGGGACCCATGGAGAACAGCTTCCAGACGTACACCGATCTCGGCCACGAGGAGGCCACCGGCCTGGTGAGTTTCGAGAATCTGGAGAGCCTGGACAGCATTTACCCGGCGGCGCTGTCCTCCAACATCGGCACACTCAACTCCACCGCCTGCGGACGCATCGATATAATGGGCACCATTGTCTACGATTCGGCGCCCTACCTCTATCCGTTCATCATCGAGTACTCGCTGATCGGGGCGGTGGTGTTGTATGTGATGTGGAAGCACATCGGCCGCTATCCGGGCCGGATGAACGACGAGGATCTGGAGCACCGGCTGGAGGTGATGCTGTCGCGGCGGGCGGTGGCCATGGCGCAGCAGGCGCGATCCGGACGCGTCGACTGCGTCGGCTCGTCGAAGGGCCTCTTCTTCGGGCTCCTGCTGCTGGTCGGAGCCCTCATCTGCCTGATACTCTTCTTCGTCTTGGTGCGCCATCAGCAGTTCTCGCTCTTGGCCATTTACCTTGCCGACGCCAGCCACTGCATCCTGATGGCCTTCGCCATCCTGGCCATAATAGTGGGATTCATCAGGTCTGGACGAAGCACTGCACACACTTGTCGTTTGGCTGCGCATAGAAAATATATGGCCAGGCATGTCGGCACCCATCTAGTAGGGGTTGTGTCGCAAATCTGAATCACCTAAATTCGAATTTAAATGTTTATTATTTAGGAAACTGTTCCCAGTTTGTTACTATGTATTAAAAGCTCAAAAATCCGTCCCTACAAACGTATAGAAAGTATAGAAAGTTTTCTAAATTATGAGATTTTTAAAAATTTTCTAGATATTCTTAAAGTTTTTGTGAACAAAATATAGGAGAGTTTAAAATGTATATATATTAGATTATAAGGTATGTAAAGCTCATAAATCGAGGCCCCTCCTTTGGATGATATTTTCTCTGCGCAGTCTGAACAAGATTCTAATGATCCGAGCTCTAGCCCTAATCATATTTTCCGTTTTGCCATTCAATTGAAATCCCAAAAGGGTCAAGAACCTGAAGTTCCGCTGCGAGGAGCAGTCGAACCTCAACGACATATTGCTGCGCATCTCGGCCTTCGGCCTGTTCACCTACTCCGTGTTCAGCATCATCGCCGGCAGTCTGAAGGTGCTCGAGAGTGAGCCCAGCCTGCTGGTGACGACCACCGGGGGCGTGGCCGTCTTCCAGGTGATCCTGCAGCTGCTGTTCATCGCGGACGTGTCCCGCCGTCGCGTCCACCTGCCGGAGCACGACCGGAGCAAGCCGGGCCGCCAGATCGTCACCTTCCTACTCATCTGCAACGTGGCCATGTTCGCCATCTACACATTCGAAGCTCAAAAAGTATTCGCCAATCCTGTAAGTAGATATGTACGTAAGCGAGACTGAGTTAAGTAAAACGATTAACGCTCTCGTTCTCTTCTCGTTATTCGATTGTTATTCTATATCCCATCCGATTGATACACAGTTGTGTTCTCTGTTTTTGCATGCAATTTGTTCGGAATAAGAAATCTGTAATTTTTTTTAAAGTGATTTGGCAAAATTATGTTAAATAGTATTTTGAACGTTAAAACTTCAAAAATTATTGACTCTAAAAATTTTTTTAAATTTTTCGTTTCTGCGTTATGAGACTGCTTAAAAAAAATCATAAGTGATATTGATGTTAAAAAGAATAACCTTTTCTTGGCAAAATCAAAAATTATTATAAATTTTATAGTTTTCAAAATGAGTGCCTTCAAAACAAGGCTCTTTTAAAGATTCCTAATATTTTTTTCATTTAAGAATTAGGTTTCCTAAAAAAATTTGATTAATTTTTATTTCTTTTCTTAAGGCCTAAATAGGCGTTGTTTCCTTAAAAATCTACTTAAATTAATAACTAAATGTTTAGGTTTATTTATCACTGGACTGATAATTGTTTCACTGAATGTTTTCTGCTTTTTGGCCTTGCTGTGCTGTCCACCTGCATGTCTTTAATGATTAGCCCAGAAACCCCCCGAACTTTGGCCAACCCACTAACCCGGTTAACCATGCTTCACCCACAGGTTCAGCTGGAGTTCTACGGATTTGTGCCCTGGTCGATCATCCAGCGCATCACACTGCCCCTGTGCATCTTCCATCGGTTCCACAGTGCCGTGACACTCGCCGAGATCTGGAAGACCACCTACAAGGCACGCTTGGAGTAAGCCGATGTCTATATCCCGATGTCTATATAGGCCGATGTGGGAGTTATGAAAATGCACCAAAACCAAAATGTAGCGAGCCCAGAACGCAAACAGAAATAGAAATCAAGTGAAGAGTTAGTTTCTAATTACGTATAAAACATATATGCATACTACATATAATATATATACATTAATGCAGATATGATTATGATTTTTTTGTTTAATAACCAAAGCGAATCGAAATGAGAAACGAAACGAACGAACCTTTCGGACCAATCTGCACGATAAGAGATTGCGATAACGATAACGATTAGCAGATCGCTTGTTGAATTTCCCCCGTTTCAGTTTTTACTTTGTTAACTCGTGGAGAACTTAAGAACTAAGTCATAGCGTTTACAGTTTACCCGAAAACCTTAAACCTAAAACCATAAAACACGGCACATGTTTTCAATCTGAGTTACATATTTAATTTAATTTAATTTAGTTTAGTTCCGCCTCTAACACGATGCAATACCTTGTTACTTATTCGAAATGCAAGCTAATATTAATTTCATAATTGTTTTATTATTACCCGCTTCGGCAACCGAAACCAAAACGAAATCGATTAAAAAATTCACATTACGAATAAGATGGAAATTATTCCGAAAACATGGTTGTTTTCGCTTGTTTTTTTTCGCGACTGCGAGTGGGGAAAATCCCCGTGAAAGTCAAAGTCCCCGGGAAAAACAGAAACGAATACACTGAAACACAAAACAGGGACACACACACACACAAGGCAATGCCATGAAGAACGCGGCCACAGGAAACGGAAACGGTAACGGTAACGAAACCCGGAAACAAAAGGACTTTCTGAATCAATTTGATCTGACTTTTTCACCAAAAAAAAAAAAAAAAAAACAATAACAACAACAGTAACAGCCGAACAACAACAAACTGTGATGAATTAATATTGATTTACTGGTATAATTTTATTTCATTTTATTTATGTTCTCTACTTGATTCAATCATTGAACCTCTTCGTTTCTTTATTCTCAGCTACAATTCACTAACTAGGTCTACAAAACTTTTGTAATAACTTGGAAACAATGGCGCTAAGACAACTTCATGGCCAATTGTAAAAACAAATTCCCCTAAACACAAATAACTAAAAACAAAATAATACCAAAAGAAAAAAAAAAAAAACAAGAGAAAAAAATGAAAATTGTGGCATTTAATGGCCAAAAATACAAAAAACAAAAAAAAAACATTTTTAATATACATTATATAAAAGTTTATAAATGTCCATTTTTTGATTATTAGTAGTGATGTTAAAAGAAAAACATAATTAACGCTAAAAATAATAATATGTATGTATGTTATAGCAGAGAATCGGATAAACCAGAAATTCTTAAGCAACACTCGGAAAAAGAGAACTTTCGGAGCAATCGAAAACGAAAATCTTTCCAAGTGAATCCCGGCATTTATGAATGAAAATTTTAGCTAAACCAAAACGGAAAATCAAGAAGGAGTGGAGTGATGATGATGAGATGACAAGAAGAGAAAGGAAAACCATTGACAAGCATCAAATTGTTTACAATTTACAATGTTAAAAAACGAACATTTTGAAAGATATATATGCCACGTATATCTATAAATATAGTATACTAACCCACCAAATTCAAAGTATTTCAACGTTTTATACAAGGAGACGATGCGCAAGACAAGAGATCGGGACAGCTATCGACCTGTCCCCCTCGAACCCCACACCCACACCCAAACCCAAGCTCGAACCCAAACCGAAATCCCAAATCTAACCCTCTAAGTCCCATCGCAAAACCCCATCCCAAAGAACAGCTGCAACTCAAGTCAGAAAGCATCAGTTTGCTAAAGACCAAAGAAGATAGAGACGAAGTAACCAGAAGCGAATCGATAAATTGAGAATCCGATTATAATCCATAATCATAATCCAGTCTACAAGTCTATATAATGCATGTTAACTGTAGGCGCGGGGAGTTCAAGAAGAATACGTATTCAATACTCGTAATCCAATCAAATGTAATGTGGTAGCAAGCATAGGCGAACGAAGCCAAAATCGAACAAACCATAAGTAGTTCAGCACACACTCACTCACTCACACTCGGATTTGGATCTGGATCTTGATTTGGGTCTGAATTCGGGTCGGATATATCCAAAGTTTGCGAATGAAATTCAGTTTGAAACTTGTACTTGCGTAGGCTCTTAGCAATTGTACTTGAATACGACATACGCCACATAAATCATATATATATAAATAAATCTAATTGTTTTTTCCTTAACATTTAGTTAAACGTAAGATCGAATCATATTTTATGCCGTACAACCGAATGAGAAGTGAGCAGAAAGAAATATTTATTAAATGTTTCAACTAAGTTGTATAATTATAAGAGAGAGTTTACATAATGGAATTATGTATCTGTATCTAAGCAAGTAAAATCACTGAAAACATTTTGGGAAAGCGTCGATGAAAAACGAGTTGGGAATTCGAAGAACGTTGAAATATTCAGACAGAAACTTAACGCACAAGACAAGAATAAAGAGATCAACACCAAAAGCAGCTGCTAACTCCCATGAAAAGAACACAAAACCAAACAAAAAAAAAAAAAAAAAAAATGAACAACTTATATACTCGTAAGTATATAGACAATTTCAATAACTGATAAATATATATACAAAGTGAAAACAAAAAGCAAAATTTACATGCATTTCAAATACATTTCCCATAACCGCATCAACTAAACAACAAATCAAGTAAACCAACAATTACAAACGAATTAAAGTGGATAGACGATTCGACAAACGTGTACGATGAATGAATATTATAAATTACAAATTATATATTATGGATGTGTGCGAACCGAACGCATATGCTCAGCAACAAAATACAACAAAACGCAAAACCAAAAATTGTAAGCAATTTTTTAATCATTGTCGCATTTTATATACGAAAATGAGAACGAATGCAAAATTCAAACATTTCTCTGCGCGAAATCCTTTTGTTAAAAACACACAAACATACCCATACCCATACTCATACTCATACCACACACCCAAACACACATCCACACTGACATTCGCTCAATATTGAGTTCATTGCATTACAAATACAAATTGAAATACAAAAATGAAATAAAAAGTTGATGGTAAACGAAGCAAAGATGACATACAAGTAATTTTAAATTGAATAAAATTAGTATTAAATTATGTACAACAAATTTCGACGGTGTTTTATTTTTTATCGGAAGCCCATGATAGCATTGATTACGCAATTAATTAGTTTATAGGCAATGAGATAAGAAATTCAGGAGTGCAAATCAATTTTTTTTAATTTTTCAGGAGTTTAAATGCCGATCTAAACACAGCTCAAACGTCGTTCTTTGCTATGTGATAGCACTATCTATTATCTATATCAGCTAGAAATACTAAGCCCAAGGCTAGATCAGGTTAAAAGGCTGGACTGGCCACGTTAAGATTGATCTGAAAGCTGGCCCAGCGGTAGTCCCGGCTATCGGGATCGCGCACCAGACACATCAGGGGCCCCTTGGAGCTCGGCCCTTGGAGTTCCCCGATGAGTTGCCGCAGACCTCCAGTCGTCACGTATCCCACGGCACAGGCAAGGGCCTCCGTGAAGCTGAATTCGGCCGAGCTTACGTAGCCGAAGACTTGGCGGCTGCATTGCCGGCGCACGCTGCCGCTCATCTCCGCCGGATCGGTGGGCAGCCACAGGCGGCACATCTCCTGCAGATGGGCGCGCACCAGGTGAGCCGTGTTTGCCGCCCGGATGTGCACTCTTTTGGTGGCCGTTTCCTGCAGGCGTCGCTTTTCCCGCACCCTTCGCGCCCGCAATCGCTTCAGCTTGAGCTTGTGCCCCTGGCGCAGTTCCTTGCGCGGCTGCTCATTCAAATCCGGCTGCGGTGGCTCCACATGAACGGGGGCCTGGTCGCTCCGCTTGATCTGCCGCCAGCGCTGCTTGTGATCCGCCGCCGTGGGCAGACAAATCAGGGCATTGCTCTTCACATGACCACGCGATATCATTCGGATTTGGATCTGAATGAGTGCCTCTTCGTCGGGCAGCGGCTCCGACAGAGGCCTACGTTTTCGCAATGCCTCGGCAATCTGCTCCAGCTGTTGGCGATGGCGCAGCACATAGTAGGCGGTAGAAACGCTGGGCGACGAGCGCCAGTCGCGCACCAGCTGCTTCCAGGGAGCACTGAACGGACTGGCCACCGCCAGCTTTCGGTAGTTGGTGCGCTTGTTCGGCGGCAGCCGAAAGTAGCGGCCACGAAGCTCATCCGCTGAAGCCGCAGCCTGCTGAATGCCTAAAAGTTAACAAAAGGCAGTGATTAATAGGAGTGAATAGGCACTGTAGTGGTACAAACTTACCCGCCACTGTATCCGGCAAATGCATCTCGGTGCCCGCCTCCCTGGCCACCGAATCCAGTTCTCTAAGTCCGCCCGGGCGAGCGCCCCACATGGTGAGCGTCAGCCAGAGGGCCATGCCGTATCCGGCCGGTGCAATCACATCCCAGCCGCAGCCGTAGGCCAATCTCTTGTACCTGGAGTCCTGAGATCCGGGTCGTTGTACGAGAATCACCGGCACGGCCTGCATTTGCTGTTCGAAGGCACACGGAGCGCCGGGCACCACGGCATGTTGTTGACGCAGCTGCTCGTACGTGTGGGTGGACATGATGCCTTTGGTCAACCGCTCGCGCACTTCCCTGCTCCACAATGGACTCTCTGGGAGATTCTTTGGCTGATTGACGAGGAGATCCCCCGGGGATCGTGACTGTGCTGCATTCCCCTCCGCTTTCGTGCGCTTCTTTGGTCGCTGCAGGCGAGGATCCACCACCTGGAGACCCATCACTAAGTTGGAGAGCAGTTCGGCCGGCGAGCCCAGCTGCAGAGCCGCTTGGCAGTAGTTGGCTTGGTCATTCTGCAGCTCTTCCTGTTCCCGATGCGGACGCAGGCTGGCGGCCAAAACGCGTTGGGCGGTGGGGCCCGTCAGACGGAAGCGATTGAACTGCCGCTGCAGCTCCACCAAATGGAGGGTGCCATCGGTATTGGAGTAACTGGGCTGCAGCTCGAAGGCTTTTGTCTGTGTCCAGAAGCGAAGGGGTTTCTTCTCGGACACCTCCTCAACTAGTTCATCTCCCTGGCCAAGATTCTCCTGCTTTGGCCTGCTGCTTTTCCTGGTAAGCTTGTCTTTTTTGGGCCGAGTCTCCGTTGTTTCCACCTCCATTTTGTGCTCCTCCAGCTCTTCTTTCAGAGGCAGCTTCTGTTGCTTCTTGGACTTGAGCTGGAACACGCTGATCAACTGCTTTAGCGTAGCTTGGGCGGCACTGGGATGCAGCCACAGCCAGAGTGTGTGCTCCTCCTCATCCGCCACGCTTGGCCGCCACATAAAGCTGGCCCGCTGCAGTGCGCCATGTGGATACCGGCCGTCCTCGAACAGCTCCAAGCTGCCCTCGCGACGTCCGCTTAGGAAGGTCCTGGCTGCGATGCCCAGCCCGCACTGCGGACTGGTTAGTCGGGCGAATCCCTGGCGCAGCGTGTCCAAGGGACCGCGCAACTCCACGCAGCCGTAGAAGGAGATGTCCTGGAGCAGGCAGTGCTCCGCACTG